GAACGGCTGTAACAAAGAGTGCCGGCAGCTCTTTGTGTTGTCTTGCGTTGGAGCGTTCTGGGCGCTCACAGGCTTTCCAACTCGTCCATGAGGGCGGCAAAGTTCCCTTCTGAATGGAAGCTGAGGGCTTTTCTTTCCTTCCCTGCAGTCGCACGGATTCAAGAGCTCGAGCTCCAAGAGACGCAATAAGCGATTGTGCTATGAGTCTTGGCAGCGCCAAATCCGTGAGCAGAGGCTGGTGCAAACAGGAGAGCACAGGGCTACACCTCTTTAACTCCTCTCAGGTATATTTTTTACATCAGGCTGGGTTTATATCATCATTCCTATACAAATGACCTTGTTGCACTGATTTTGCTCTAAAGGCATTAGGGTGCTACAGTAGTGCACTAGAAGATACATTATTAACACAGGCCACTCCTGCTTGCTTGCAGTGTTACTTTAGGAGGGTGTCTGGGAACAACAGAGAGAAAGAACCATTCATGCATTCAGCATTCTCTTTGCCACTGTAAAAAATCATGAAAGATTCACTTGAGCTTGGTTTTTAGCTCTGCCAAAGTAAGCAATTTTATGTCTGCACAGAATGGGATTTGGTGGGTAGAAAAGCAATGGAATATTTCCCCAGGTTATGTTAATTGTGGATCGCACCATCTCATGAAGAAAGAGGGCATGAGTTCAGGACCTGCGTTTTCCTGTGACCTTGGGTAAAGCAGTTCCTTTTACACAGCTGTATTTTGACTTGTTAAAATGGGAATAAAGAATACCTTTTCTCTTTTCAAGCATTAACAGCCTCAATGTACTGGTGTGGATTAATTCTTTGGAGTCTGTTCTCTTCCTCACTTATTTTTGAAAGCAAGGTCAAGATGCCTTGAGACCATAGGAGAAAAAACTCATGTATGAATTTGACTTATTTTGCATGTAAGAGGAAGCCTTACCTTGATCTTGCCCACTGAGAGCTGGAGTTTATCAAAGGAAGAAGATATCTGTAGGCTTGTCAGTGTATTGAATCATATTGGGAGGGTAGGAGGAAGCTTAATAAGATTTTCAAGCACTAAGCATAAAAATTAATGACAATGTAAAATCCATGTGAAAAGGAAGAAAAGCATTTACATTTTTCTATTTCCAGATACAAATGTCTGCATCCAAAAACACTTACAATCGTGCATGTGGTACGTGGCTTTGTAATTTAAAATAATTTGAGATGAAGCAAAATAAGCATCCCAAGTTTTTGAAAACATTCCCAGTTTGTTAGAGTTTAACATCAAATAGTTGCTGTGTGATAAGAACACGAGCGTGTGGGAGGTCTTTCAAAGAAAAAAAAAAAAAGTCTTTGTGTGAGGCAAACTTTCAACAATAAGAGAATTCCCTCTGTTTATAACAACATTTTTCTGTTTATAAACAACACTCTCCTGAAGGAAACAGGAGTGCTGGGGAAGTGCAAGAGAGGACATAGAAAATTTTCACAGTGTAATACTTTTTAAGTCCGTCATAGATGTCTGAATTTTAATACCAATTTATGTGCTGTTGTGATTTTTAATAAACTCATATTCCACTCTTCATTTCTCCAGTGAATACAGCCTATTCTTAACCTAAATATTAACAGCATTTACATGGATATTTTATGTTGCTTCAAATATTTCTGGAAGATTTGGGGTCACTTTGTGACACAATAAAGAATTTTTGAGTAGGGCAGATCAGAGCAAGGCAGCACTGGATCAGTTACTGGGTGTGAATTGTTCTGCAGTAACAGCACCCTTGGAACCAGCTGCATTTTAGAGCAGGTAAGAGACTTCTGGTCACAGCACCTGTATTTTCCAGCCATTTAGATGGAGCTGTTCGAGGAAGAACTGTTACTAACCCTCCTTTGAGCAGAGCTTTCCCCACTCAGCAGGAGCGGGGCCTGCCCTCTCTAGGTTGTGCAAAGCCCATCTGCCTGTTGCCTCCCGAGCGCAAATGCAATCTGTTACTTTGTCAAAATAAACAACACGTCTATCTGATCACTTCTAGCCTGCTGCCTGCCTGACTCCCCAGCTATGGGGGAAACAGCCTGTTTATGGCACTCTCATTTTGGGGCAGAAGCTGTTACAGCTCAAACATTGCAATGAATAATTCACAGCTCCGGAGCCCAGAGACAGGGCTTTGCTCTCGCTGGGGCTGGCAGGCATTCAGGGTCATCCTGGCAGGAGAGGAATACCAAGTACTCCAAAAGCTCCATTTTATGTCTGTATCATCCAGGGAACTTGATCAAATCAGTGTAAGCATTGCCCTGACATTAGGATAACCAAATGCAATCAAAGTTGGTGTGTGTCTATATGATGATCATTGTGAACAGCTGTAACAGACAAGTTCTGCAACTAATCTATATTTCTCTAATGAAAATTAATTATTTTCCCCATTTTTTAGCCATTTTTAAACCCTTCCTCCACCTTTCATATTGCTTATGTGCTTGTTATGCCAATAGTTTGGGTACAATGGGCTAAAGAAGCCAGAAAACCTACATCCTAACTCTCTGGAGAATTCTCTTTTAATAGTACTTTCTTAAATTAGACCATCCCACATACTTCAGAATCTAAAGTCTTGGTGTGTGTCAGATTCTGACACTTTGTTTAACGTGGGCTGATTAGCTGCAGTCACAGGTTAGCTGTAGGGGAAAGGTCTTTCTTCCCTAAACACCAACTGATTCTAGAAGTTAAATGTAGCTTATTAGCTTAGCAAAATATCAAAGATGTATTTTCATCCTTAAAAGGAGGTTTTAATCCTTTTTACTTATCCTTAAATGCAGCTAAGATAATGTCTTAAGTATTCCTTAGCCATATAAGTAAAAATACCAATTGAATATTTAATCACAATCAACATAACTTTTGTTTGTTTGTTTTGTCTAATGGAGATTTACAAAAATGTCTTTCAGAATGAGGGGAAAAAAGAATAAGGTAACAAACCCCAGAAAATACCATTGTTTTCAGCTGAGGAATGCATTGTAGGATCCCTCTCCACAACTCAGAAAGAGTAGCCAGAAGGGGATAGGGAAAATTGTGAGAATCATGAGCATAGAATGGCTTCTCCAATGAACTACAACAGGTCAGGACTTCTAGCTAAGGAAACTGAGTGGTGGCTTGAGAAAGGACTGATGCTCTTGGCCTGGTGCTCTGTGATTCCCAAGGATTGCAATTTTTTACATTAATTACTAAAATACTATTCAGTTTCTGAGTTTGAGGAAAGCTGGATGGATAAAACCATACATTTGAGAGTGATGCTTTTGACCACACATCAATGTGGTAACCAAGCACTGCCAAGCTAAAAGGCAGAAAAGCCTCTATCCCTGTGAATTTCTTTAAGAAAACTGCTTGCAACAACGTGCATTTACTATAGCACAGCTTTTTGGTGCAGAAAGTGACACATTCTTTGTCCGGGGACTCCTGATGCGATGATTTGGGTTTGGCATTTGCAGAACTCTGTTTGTCAGAGGAGCAGAGGTGCAGCAATGTGTCATTGGATGTTTGAGCACCGAGTCACTCAACTCCATATCCCTCCAGATCTGCACTGAACAGCTCACACTTCCCACTTCTCACCTGTTGCAAAGGGATCTTAGATCTGATTGATTGTTCCTGTGCTGATAAGGATGTCTGGCCCTTTGCTGTTACACCCTCTGGTGTCACTTGGAGCAGGGACGCACATTTCCTTTCTCTGGTGACACAGACAAGCACATTGTCTTCCTGGCTCAGCTCCAGGTTCTTTTCAGAGCAGCTTCACAGGTAAGGACAGCACAGCCCTGCTTGTTTGTCTGCTTTCATAATTGTTCCTGAGTTTGATTTAAAACAATTTACCTCATTAACTATTTTTTCCTGCTAACTGAATAGCCCTAAAGGAAAAAAAAAAAAAAACAAAAAAACTCAGCTGTGTCCTATAAATAAATGAAAATGTTTTGAAGCAAACCAACCTTTGGGTCTCAACCTTTGGTTTGTCTGAGGCAGGACGGAGCAAGCCTCCAGAATATTTATTTATTGACCGAGTGCAAGATTTCACTGCTCTGTCAGGGTAGAGCAATACATATCCAGGAACCATCACTTTATAAACAAGAGTGACCTTGAAGCATTAAGGAATGATAAAAGCCAAAGTTTCAAACAGACTCCATTCCCAGCTGGATCATCAATACATGCTTGTTTTCCTATATAACTTTATGCATCAGTCACTGTTAAACAGCCAGGTCCTTGAGGATTTTGCCTCACTCCAAGCTCACTGTCTGAACCCAGAGGAGGTCAGGAGTGAAGCACACTTTTGCTGTCTGGCCACTCACAGCTAATGTTTTTCATCACAGCTCTTTGAGTCCAAGGAACCTCCACTGCATTGGTGAGTGGGCTCACACAGAAATGCACTCAGGCATGCAGGAGAGGGGATAGGAGGGAAAGGGCTGTACCCCCAAGCTGAGGGAAGGGACAAAGGGATGGACACCTCCCCATTGGTCCAGTTTCAGGGAAAGGCAAGACACAACGCTCATAATTACAAGAATTTTAGCATGGGTATAACTAGAGAGAGTTTGTCTCTCCCCTCTTTGCCCTTGCTCTCTCAGTTCCACAATTAGTGAGGGTTTGTGACTTATGGTTGATGAATTCCTGCTGTAAAAGCAAGCTGCTGTTCTCGCCATGGGAGGTTTCAGGCTTTCTCCTGTGCAGATTCTGCAGTGTCCAATGCTAGGGCTCAGTGGATGTTGTTGCCTTTCCCTTACACAGGCAGGACTCTGTCCTTTCTCCAGCCATCTAATTTTATAGTGATGACAGTCTTTTTGAGATTTCTGTCACTCTAAATCCACTGAGGTTTCTCCTAAATCCATTGACATCTCCCACCAGTTCCACAGCTCCCGGGTCTGACTGGCAAACAGCAGATGGCGTGGTTGCCTCAGCACAGGGACCTAAAATCCACCCCCAAAGGGAAAGTGAATTCACCTGTAAGTGAAATTATGGGCTATGATTTGCATGTGGTGTCATTCACAAAAAACACAGACTACGTGCAGGTAAACAGGCATTTTTATAAAAGGAGAAGAAAGTATGTACATCATAGGGAACAAATGCAGACTGTACTGGAATAGCTATCTATATGTATTTAATTTATAAATTAAAATAGAAACCTCACTAAAACATTGACACAAAGGAGTAAAGCTTCAACACAAGGCACAGGAAATTCATCAGATTCCTCTTGGAAAATAATGAGATGACACTTTAAATATGATGTCATGTTTACCATTACAACCACCCCAGTCAAAGATATTTTTCATAACCTCCTGCCTGATTTTTTAGCCCACTTTTAGTTAACCAAAAACCCATTCCCCAAACGAACTTACTCCTAAAATCTCATGTATTTGTTCTCCTAATGTAGATAATAAATGTAAATACCATACTAAGGTAAGAGATTTACAACAGTAATAATACAGCTCTGCGTAGCGGTTTTTATCACAATATAAACCAGCACCTCTGATAATATTGGCACTGGCATCTTTATCTGATAAATGGGTACTCGGTGATTAAAGATAAAATTCTCATCTTTTACAAGAAGACAAATGCTTGGAAGGTGCTATATTTAAGCAACACTTTACTTCTACAAAACTCAGCTTTATTTACTACTGAGGAGTGGATTCAGGGAGTTCTTTAAATGTATCTCTGGTTTCCAGGACAGGGATGGTTTCAATGAAACACTGGATTAATTAATGGAATCAGGAAATGTGCAACTGAAACTCAGCTTTTGTTCTGACAAAAATTCATCAGCTGTTTTTCACTCATACAGATGGAAATCATTTACCTGAATCCCTTTCCTTGTACATGTTGAGTGCTTAGTCCTTTAGTGTCTTTTTAATCTTATATCACACTGAGAAAAGATTTGCTTAAAAACCTAATAGTGGAAAAAATATTTATAAATAAACACCAAATAATTACAATATTTCGATCCTGTTATGATCAGTGTAACTCCTTATGGCACAGCTATCTCTGCTTTTGTAAAATATTGCTAGGAATGGTCAACACAGAACACAGAATTCCCAGGATTAAAAACCAAACAAATCAGCACTATCATAATAGCAAGAAAAAAGTGAAAACCAAAAGTCAAATGCTCATTTTGGCTGAAGAAGCTCCTACTGAGGTTGAAAAGCTTGTGGGAAAGAACATCCCTTTGTTCTCTTCATTCTAGCAATTCCTAAGCGTGGAATTTTGTGGAAGTCCAAAAAATTCCAAGTAGCTAAACTATGTCAAAAGGAGTTGAAATAATGTCCCAGAAACAGCACAATGACAGTAAAAATTACTGGTAACACAAAAGTATACACATTAATTAATATGTGAATTAATGCCAAATAACATTGGCTATTCAATACAGAGGCTAAAAAGCTCAATGTGAAAAAAAAAAGTGTACAAAATGTATTCAGATTTAAACATCTCAATCAATCAGTGTCTGTAAGAGAAACATAGAAACAATGCCCTGTCAAGTCTACTCACAATTCATCACTTTGCTACAGCTACAATAAATATTTGACATCCTATGCCATCAAAGGGGAAAAATCTCTCTTGTAAAATACAAGGAAACCAGATATGTAAGGACACAGAGTTGCTTCAGAAATCGTTCTCCTGCAGGTCACTCGTGTTTGTCTGGTGCTGGCTGATGAGCAGATCTTGGACAGAAAGTGTCCCAGTGCCAAAGAATTTGGTGTCCAAGTGACACAAAGATGAGAAACGGGAGCAGTGCCAATGAAACAAGCATTCCAGGTGTGGGACAGGCCATCAGGGCCGTGTTTCCTGGAGCTCTGAGGACTCTGAATGCCAAGAGGGGATCAATGGGACTTTCTGGAGGAGCTATGGGGACAGCAGAGCATCGAGAGAAACCCCACAGCCACTCACTGCCCCCACTGCTGATGGAAGCGTGGATAGCCACAGGCTGTCCCCATAAATCAGGAGCTGGAGCTCCCTCCCATTGCTGCCCTGCTCAGCCTCTGGAGCTCATTCTGCATCACTAGAGCCATGGGAACAGGGTGGGTCGGGCCGTTCCTCCCTGCATCGGGGGTAACCTCAGCCCTTTTGGGGTGGGGGTGAGCACAACAATGAACGCTCTGCCTCAGCTTGCCCATCTTTAAACGTAACGGTGAGTGAGAACAAGGAACAGCAGAGCCAAGGGAGTGGGAATGGGACAGGTCAGGAATGAATGCTGAAGGACCAGGCTCGGAGAAGGAGTCTGCTTATGGCGGCCTGCACAGTCTTGCTGCCAAGTGTCTCCCTCTCCTTTTCACTGACATGGCCCAGAAAAGGCTGTGGAATTCATGGAGCTAATGTTCTTCCTTTGGAAGGCTCAAAAAAAGGGTGAAACTGCTCGGTCTGTGGCACTGCTGGTGGGGTGCAACGTCAGGGTAAAAGCAAATCTTTGCAGGAGAGCAAAAGGGACGATTTACTGAAGCAACATTTTGAAACATTACTGTGAAAAAACAATGGAATTATCACAAAATGGAATTTCACACTCCCGGCAAACCCCCACTGGAGACAAGAGACTGACAAACAGCATTCTAGTGTAAGTTGCACTCCACACTCAGTCCTCTCGTACCTGCCTTTAGTATCTAACTTACTAAACTTTTACACAGCAGTTCAACAAACTCATGTTTCGCAGGAAAAACAAAAGTTTAGCTGGTTTTTCATGAAAAAAAAACTGCAATATTCTAGCTCTATTTAAAAAAGAACAAACAAAATCGTAAGAAAGCTACAGAACTACACTGCCCTTGCTGCCTTTTAAACAGTAAAAGCTTTACGGTGAACTCTAAAATAAATCACAAACATCTATAATCTTATTTCGTGTTTTGACATCAGACCAAAACGTTTACCAAAGCAGGCCTACAGGGAGGGAGGGAAAATAGCAGGAAGGGTAGATAATAACAGGGAGTGGAAAATGATCCAAACGTGACCAACAGAGATTTTCTGAAAACGCAGAAAAGAAAGCAGTTCTTTTGTCTGGATCACAGACATCTGGAAGATATAGGTACAAAAAGAGGGGAAGGGAAGAAAAAAACCCAAAGTGTGAAAGAAGGGGAAACCTCCATCCAGCAAAGCATTTGCACACAGGTTCAGGGTAAAGCACAGCCTAAAGCTAAGCTTGAACCTGCGCGTGCTGCTGGACTCAGGAGGGAAAACAATAGCAACAGACAGTAATACTTGAGCAGGTACCCTCCATGAACTTGCCACCTTCCGATAAACGTCTTCCTAATTGAATTTTTCAGCTCTTTCTAGCCAAGCCTGCTATTTCAGGCTGCAGAAGGTTTTGCTGAAGAGGACACAGCGACTCTTGCCAGACTTGACTGCTTTCAGACAGCCCACCTAAGGTGGGAAGAGACCATTTCCAACCGGCTGGTCCCTAACATAGCCCTTTCTATCTTTGTAAATGTAAATGCAGCCTTGTGGAGGGAGCGTTTTGTCTGGGAGAGGTCACTGGCACCTGGTCCCTCGGCGTGGCCTTTGGGGATATGTCTATGCCCACTAAAAACGCGTTTGCCGATAGAAAGCACCTTTTCACTACTGAACTTGGGGAGAAAAAACACGATAGGAATGTCCTTAGGACATCTGGGGTGAGGAACTTCTATGCACTTATTCCAAAAGCCCATGAAAAATATACCTAAAAGAAAACACAGGAAAACAGAATAGAGCAAACAAATTGCCCCCAAAAATCATTAACAAAAAAGTAAAAGTAACATTATCAAACTATATATATAATTGTTTTCATTAAAAAAGAAGGAAAAATGCACACCTACCGCCTGCAGTTCTGGTCAGGTTCTCCCTCCGCCCACCCCAAAAAAGTAAAAATTAAAAAAAAATACAAATAAAATAAATTAATGTTTCCACCAGCCTGGTTCTCAACTGAAACAATTTCTTCCCCCACTACTCTCTTTCCTCAACACATCTGTAAGAAACCTCAATTAAAAAAATCTGCAATTCTTCAGACAAACACGAAAGTAGGATTTTCCCCCCAGTCTTTGCAAACCTGGACTTCTTTTAACAGTAGCCTTTCTGTGCATTGGAGAGGAGATGGGTGTCAGGTACAGGTGTCCTTATCAGAAGATCAGAATGACTGATTCCACTTGTGCTGACAAAGAATGCTTGAGTCTGGGATTGCTCTGGGTTAATGGCATCCCTTTGAGCTTGAAGGCAGCACTTTCTCCCCAGCTGTAATGTGAATTGCTTAGCACTTGGATCCATCTAATGATTGAGATAATATCATTCATTAGCCCCAATAACAATAGCTCTGGCTCACCCAAGTATTTCAATATGCAAATGGTATCATTTAGGCCAGCGGGGAATCATTCCCTCAAAGTTAAATATGTGGTTTAGTTCTTGGGCAAACGGGATTCCCAATGCACTCAGGAAAATTGAGATGTTTTGTCATGTTCAAAAGATAGGCACTTATTTTAAATTTGGGATTTTTAAAAACAAATTGCAACAGCTGTGGTGGAAAGGCACTTGAGCTTACATGCTAACCTTCAGCAGTGGGGGCCGAGTAAAGGATGCCAGGTTTGCATGGCAGCTGGTAGGAAGTATCCAGGATTGTATGTTCTGCCCTTCAGGCTGGGAAACGTCCTCTGAACCCCTCAGCACATTGCCAAATCTTTATTTCCCTTTAGTGAACATATTAAAACGTGTAACAGTGGAATTGAACCTTTGAGATCCTTCTTTTCCATCTGGATGTGCATCTGTGGAGATGCACCCACAAAAGGGTCTTAATGGGCCAGCAGAAAACATTTCTGGAGGGCTCCAGACAAAGTACATCCAGAGGGTGAAGTGGAGACCAAAGCACAAGTACAGGAAGCAAAGGAATTAGTCAGTGAAACCAGACTTTTTCCACACTCCACATTTTTCTCTTCTGACAACTTATTTCATGCCTTCAGAATCCAGTACGGTTTTAAAAACCCAAACAAACCAATGTCATTTCCTTATAATTAAACGGGAGAACAAAGTTTGTGATTAAAAGGTTAAAGATGGAATCATCAGTGATACAGGTGGAACTTTGTCACCTGGTAACCAGAAATGGTAGCAAAAAGTGTTATCACATCCTCTCTGAGCAGCACTCTGAACTGAACACAGTTCTGGGGTTTCTCTGCTTTTCTAAAGAGAAATGTTCAAGAAGGGTTTCTTTCTTGGATCAAAGGATCCCCTCCCAGAAATATTGTCTATGTCTTGCACTCATTTATGCAGCTGCTGCTGGAAAATGAGCCTAATTCTTCATCTGAAGAGTCTGACCACAATAGTAGAATGAAGTGAAAATGACCAAAGAAAAAGAATATAAATGGTGCCATTCTCAACCCCTGCCACTGCCTCTGGGAGAAAACAGAAAGCAAAGCAGAAAGTGCTGGCACGCCGAGCTCCTGCAGCTCCAGCATCTGGGCATACATTCCTGGTGCACTGCTGAGGAACTCTTCCCAAGCTCCAGGGAGGCAACTTGCAAAACATCTCCAGCAAATCTTCAGGAAGGTCCTCCTTTCCCTCTGCTGCCATTTCCCAAGCTTCTCCACCCTCAGACTCATTTTCTGGCTATCAGCCAAGGAGTTTGACCCTTGAAGTGGCAGACAAAAGGTTTCCCGTGAAAACAGACAGGCAGAATTGTCAGGAATCCACAGCAACAGCAGCCTGGTTACAGGCTTTAGTAGGAACAGAGCCTGAAACAAATCGCCACAGCCAGGGTTGTACAAACCCAGCTGCCCTGCTTGGGTTCCTTTTGACATGCAAGGAACTGAGGTTTGGGAAGAGCGGCAGGTCAGTGCGGTATCACTGATTTGAGCCCTCTTGTCTATCCCCAGCGGCTGATGAGATTGTATCAGTATTTGGGCTGTGGAGCAGCAATCCAAAATGGTTATCTGGCACTACAGTAAAGATCCCAGGCTATAATCTGCCACAGCCACAGGGAACATTTGTCACCATTTTCCCATCTTTTCAATGAGTGGGTATCCTACACATTTTCCCCGTAGTAGGTAAATCTTTGCTGACTCAAGCCAGATACTATCAAGAGTTCTGGCAGTTTCACTTCAAGCTCACTTACATCTCAGGCAAGAGTTTTCTCACAAATGGAGCAGTCAAAAAACAGCCCAAGGAATAAAACAGGTACAGCATCACCTCGAGATTCCTTAACTTTTCAGGAGCTGTGGCAGGACAAGGTGGCAGATGTGCACTTGCTCTGCTCTTGGATCAGATAAAAACAACCAACAACAATCCCATGCGGTGCAATCACAAAAACCAACTACACAAAAACCATGCTGTACAGACCAAAGGAAACAGAAAGCATTGGCAGCTTCTCCTAAGGATCTCTGTATTTTTAAGGATTAATAATAGACAGGATTTGTAGAAGGGACCGAAGCATTCAGACATCCTACCTTCAAGATCAGAGCAGGAACTCACTGCCACTGCTACAACCTTCCAAACCCAAAGCACGAGGAGTACACCTGGCTGGGTCTTTAGTAACTACTTTAACAGGTGTGCAATTAAAACACAATTGGACCATTAGCTGTTCCAGTTAGCTCAGCTGCAAAGCCTTTTCACACGGAGCTGGGGCTTACATTAACGACATCTATTACTGAGAAAACCAGGGAGAATCCCTCAGTGCTGTGTAGCCCATTTTCCTTCTGTGCCGTTTCAGCTCCAGTACACCAAGCATCTCATGAAAACATCATGCATGGAAACGTTTCATCCCAAGGACAATGTTGGCATGAGAACAAATGGTTGTAAATACCATGAATTAGTTTAGGTCGAAAGTTGCAAGGAGTTTCCTAACTGCGAGGGCACTGGAGTCGGAACAGCCTGCAGGGCGGGGAGGGAAAGGACACAGGGCAGTGGAAAACTCACTGGTTTTCAGATGAAATTCAATAACTTTCTGAAAGGGTGAGGTGACAGCTGGATTGCAGCAGTCAGAGGCTGGGCTGGGATCCTTGGGCAGTCCCCAGCAGGCCTCTCCCTGCGTACAAGGGAACTACATCCCTTACTCTGTCACTTTGTTATGATGGCACTAAAAGGCTGCTTGGAACCATGTGGAAAAATTCCTGATTAATAGTTTGTGAACAGATGAACAGCTGAGTATAGGGAGGATCACGGTGGTGACCCCTTCCACTAGCACAGCTGTAGCCAGGAGGAGCCGAATTCCTGTTGGAGCGGCAGCATCATGCAAAGAGCAGGACTTCAGTGGATCGGTCTCACTAATTAATCACTATTTGTGTTTCTCCTGTGGGATCATTAAATAGTGGCAGCTTCCCCCTGAGACTCCTGCACTGCCTTTGCCCCCTGTGTGAAGGGCCAAGGCAAGTGGATGTGTTTTAGGGAATAGATTTAGGCTCACACTTTTCCCCTCGTATTTTAAGGAAAGCACACTGTTATGCTCACTTTAGTCTGGTAGTGCTTTCCTCTCTGGGTAGTTTAAACTTGAGACATCAACAAAGATAGGTCAGGAAGGACAATTAAGATGTGCATATGCAGATGAAAATTACATACTCTGCAAATTTGCATGTGACCTTTGGTTAACATTTTAAAAAGCCACATGGATTGATTTTACAAACATCTGTTACGATACCAAGGTATGCTGCGTTATGCTTAATTTTAAATAAGGCTTTCATTAAGCTGCTTGAAAGCCTACAATTTAGAAAGGGCTTAGAATTTCTTGCCAACCAGGGCTCCTTTTCATGAGGGTTATTCCAGCTCATGGGAGGATAATTGTAAATCATGGTGTCTCTGCATTCCCAGTGCACAGGGACTACTATGAGGTTTTTCAACAACACTTTAATTCATCACAACAGAAGTGTTAATATTTCACTTTAATAAAAAATACATACTATTTTGAAATATTCTTGAATGATCCAGCTTGAAAAATGAAAATGACCTTTAAATCTATACAGGGCAGTTCCTTTGGGCACTTTAAATGCAATAATTTATTAAGTTCCTATATTCATCATGTGTGCACAAATATCATGTAAATATTACAGCTGTACTCCATGACAAAACAAGCATAATGCAGACATAGAATCATACAGAGAACTGACAATTGGGGAAAAAAGGGAGATCTAGTATTTTCTGTACAAAAAAAATATGCCACTTTTTGATAATTTGTAAAAATGCATAACTTTTGGCATTTCAGAGAAGAACACCGTATAAAAATAAATATTCTATGTACAGTAACACACACAGGTCAGTCCAGGGTTAGAATCATCACTGCAAAAGAAAACATAAACAAGTGTTAGTGACAGCTCACAGAGGGAAGGACACTGTTAGGGAAGCTGGCTCTGGGTTCTCCAGGAGGAAAAGGAGCTGTGATGGATCTCAGCAGGGACCCTTTGCACCTTTCCTGAAGGTGGGCCAGACCCTGGGGAGTGTGGGGGGCATCTGAGAGAATCCAGGTGGAAATCTCATCTTTGTGCAAGGATTAGAGCACTTTGGGGCTGGCAGCTCAAAGGCCACAGGTACAGTTCTCTCCTCTGTGGCCCACGGAGCTGAACTGTGATATTTAAATAAGGAGGAGTTTTGGTTGCCACTTTTCTGGGATACAGTCCTGGAAATCCCATCCATGCATCCACACCTCTTTTGCCCTTAGCCAGATTCATGGAAAACATTAGCAGGACCCGTGGCACTGCCAACTCAGCACAGCAACATTTCCAAGATTACCTTATTCCAGCAGCCTTGAACTGGAAGGCCATCTTCTCCCTGTGAAAAAGATGGATGAAATGGCAGGTTAGGATCCAGAAAGTAGCACAGAGATGGAGAAAGGAAGGCATGGGTTAACTGTTACTGCAACAAACAGTTTGAACCAGGGCTGGAGGAATAGTCTGAGAGATATTCCTCATCCTTCAGATGACCCAGACTTCTGGCTGGCACAACCAGTGCAGCCTGAAGCAGGGGCTGGGGTGAAGAGGGGAAATGCCTGCAGGCTGTGCAAGGGACTTATGTACCCGAGAACCACCCTCCCCCCCAAGAAGAAAGGAGTCTATCCAGGCTTCCTTGAAAGAATGCCCAACTCAGCCAGGTAAACACTGCTAGGGGCTGGCAGTGGAAAGTGAGAGGTGGCTGCTCTGTCCTCAGGCTTGGCTCTGTAACATTGAGCTTAAAAACCAATCCCAGAGTCAGCACTAACCTCAGACTCTGAGGAGGGTCTAGAAAAAATCTCCGTTTCCTTTCTGCCCTGTTAAAGCGTTTGCTTTGTCATGTGAGAACTGCCCAGTTATCCCCTCTCGCCTCTGGGGAGATCCTGCCCCAGGGAAATTAGGAAGGGACAGTCCCTCTGCTTGTTCAGGATGGGGCAGCACCTCTGCTGGTTCAGGACGTCTCAGCTGACTCCCTGAAAAGGGACTTCGGCTGCAAAAACATCAGTGGGATTTCTGTGGACATCCCCTGGCACTTCTGCAACCGTGATGTCTTGGGCTCCATGGTTGGGAAATGCTTTTGTAAGTTACTGCCATTCATTTCAACCCTGTGCAGCTTTCTTTGATGGGCTAGATATGACACCAGTGCTTAAGGTGCTCTGGAGCAGCAGACAAAGTCAGGTGTAAGGAAATACACGTCTGACACAAGAAGTCAAATTCTTGTGCTTTGTGCACGTGGCAGATTCATGGTTTATCACTATTCCCCAGGAAACCCCAAAAAAATACAAACAGAAAAGCAAATGCACAGTAATATATTGAGAAATGAACTATTTACTGGAGATTCACTTCAGGGGGCTGATGTACTGAATGTTGCCATGATGTTAGAACAGTATTGCTTTTCAAATGCATTTTTTGGACTTTGGTCTCCTTGTGCTGTTTCCTCCCCTTCCCCCAACTATGTGGAAATACGGAATTACAAGTTATTTACTGGGCAAATTGTGGTGTTCCCATTGGTACACTGGTGGTGATAGGAATGACTGGTACAGTGCATGGCAGGAGGAGATGGGAAGTTAGGTGTATGAAGGAATGGGAGGCCAGGAAGCCACAGCTCAGGGATCAAAGGAAGACCAGGGTCACAAGGAAGTGTTTGTTGCGGGCGAATGTGCCGAGAACGGAAACATGACATGCTTATTAGTACCAAGGATCTCCTTCCACATATCTCAGAAGTGCAAAGAGTTAGTTCACAGCCTCCATAAGCTACACACATGGATGTGTCAGCTGGATGCCAAGCTTTTAACCTAGTTGGATCAAAAAACATGCTTATTCACGTTCCCAAGCTAGCTTGCATGCCAGAACACCATATATAAAAAATAACAGCAGCCATATTTCATCAGATTTTCTGGCAAGTTTCCCTTAATGAAAATAGGTATGGAAAGAAGTGTGAGTTCTAATATGGTCACGTGGGATGCATTCTCACTGGGAGCAGTGACAAAACCAGAAATGTCACCTGCCAGGGCACTGGTGGAATCCTCGCACCTGTGAAATTAAGTGATTTACTCAGCCAGAAGTTACTCCATAGAAACCTGGCTGTGATCATTAGGACACAAAGCACATGGCTCTGTGGTCTTCCTCCTCTGTGCACTGTTCTGGGCAGGGATGGTTTCACCTGTGGGACTGGCAGAAATTTCTACTACCCAGAATTTACAGAGCAGCAACTGAGACTTTACGAGTGGTCACTGTCCCAGAGAGGCAATGGCAGCACCCAAAGGAGGGAACGCTGGAAGGAAAATTATGTTAGCTCTTCACAAAGCTCATGCTTTTAATGGCAATTTCATGGCTTTTTTTTTTTTTTTTTGTTCCCCTCAAGAAACTAGGAAAATCTTTCACACTAAATGTGGCTTTTTGCTTTGGGATGCATTTTCCCAGCTAGTTGAACTAACAATATCCCATCCCTTGCAGATGGCATCGAACATCCTTAAGTGAGCATAAAGCTTGGAAAGACCATCCTCAGGCAAACCTTGTCATGCCAAACAGGGCTGATGGGCAGGGGAGTAGAAGTTTCTTTGTTTTATGGAGATGTTGAGACTCTGCCAGGGAGCAAAAACGTCACCTGAATCTGCATCTCCAAAAAACTCAGAGAAAATGAATAAATTTGTGACCTCTGTTGGGATACCAAGAAATCAGTTGGGGTTAAGTGTTCCTGAATATTTTTGTCCTGCAACAGTTGGCCTAGATCAGGCACTAATACAATAATCATTTTATCACTTAAATAAGACAGATACTGGGAAACAGGCAATCCTAAATTCAAGTTTTTTGGATGCTATGGGTACAATTTGGACTTTTGGGGAGAGTCATAAATAGGAATTATCTACCAGGGAGGTTAAGTCCCCATTAATACATTTCACATGGGCTTACTAATGTGATAAACTATTATTTTCAGTCATCTTCATGTATGGGGTGACTGAGGTCATACAGAACCATGTCAGGCTGTGCTCAACACACACAAGCAATTAAAAACAGAATTAATGAAGGACACAAGCACTGCAGCTCCTTGTGAGGAAGCCAAGCCAGTATACAGTTGGGTCTGCATACACTGGTTTACTGGAAATTGTCAAAAGGAAGGCAAAGGAAGAAGTGAAGCAGTTGTAAATAAAACCACATTCCAACTCTATTTTTTCTCATGCCACAAAGTACTGCTGACAGCTGCTGGGAATCAGAATGAAGGGAAGAGCCTGGTTCTGACAGCAGCAATGAGAGGAAGGGAGTATGGAGACAGGTAAGGAAGGAACTGCCAGGTGTTTCTAGGGCATGCAGCTGTTTGGGGGGATCAGAAAATAGCACCAAGAGCCAAAAAGCAAACGAGCATGCAGGAAAGGGAAGGTACACCATACCAATGGGCATGGGGCATCCAGGCCGTCCAGCCCAGGTAACCCCGGCTCACCCTTCTCGCCTTTAAAACCTCGGAGACCCTGTTTATGAAATCAACCACTATCGTTATTTCAGTCAGTGCCAGCCAGCTCCACGTCCCAGGAGGAGAGGCTGAGTGCCTGCTGGGACTGGCACAGGGCACTCAGCTGCACACCCAGCACAGAGCTCTGTCTGCACAGTGAGCAGTTTCTGTCACCTACGGGCCAGGAGATGCTTCTCTGAGAGGATGGGAATGGCGTTTCCTCCATTCCAAAATCAGCCATTCCTCCGATCCTCACTGAGAAACCCAGCAGCTGGATTTCTAAAAGAATGATCCCCAAGTGCTCCTGGAATTTGTGGCACTGCTAGCAGATTTCTGGCAGTGTTTACTGCAGCATACTAATTTAGATTAAAATGTACACATAGTCCTGTATTTATTCATTTGTCTAGACTTCTAGCCAATCAGTTTTGACAGAAACACATCCCATTTAGGATAACTGAGACTTGTTTTCCCTCTGGGTAGTGCAGCTCAAGTGCCCTGTGTGCTCTCAGGCCATCACATCAGCTGGCTGTTATTCCAAGGCAAGGAAGCCAGCACTGCAGTTTTGCTGTCACATAGCTTTGATCCATCGAGCATCTCCAGAGAAGAGCTGGAACCAGCAGCAAAGGAGACAGGGCTGTATCCACAATGGAGAAAGCCCTGAGCTCCCAGCACATGGGACACCCCATGTACCCAAACCTTTGTCTGGAAGAGGAAGGAACATAACCATGGTCACTCAGCAGCCTGATCTCTCAGAGGATCAGGTGGTCCCACAGCTTTGCCACAGGCTGTGGTGGGAACCCAGCTGGACTTATCCGAATGTTGTACTTTTGCAAGACCATTATTTATGTTATGATTTCCTTCTGTCTTCCCCATCAACACATCTTAAAACAATACATTTGATGAAACAGGACATACCAACGGACAGGGTGCATCTAATCCAGGTGCTCCTTGGTCTCCCTTATCCCCTTTAGACCCTCTAGAGCCTTTCTTGCCCCTCTCCCCCTGTAAATAATAGTTTAGTCCAAGAAAAAAAGAATACACAAAAGCTTTAGGATCATCCATTTCAAACAAATGTCAGCGATAGTTTAAAAAAGGATAAACATTTAGGAAACATTTTAAAATAAATCTCCCTCTGAGATGTGAAGATCAACATTTGGAGCTGCTGAGCTGTAGCTGAGCTGCATAAACACTGTGGCTGTGGCTGCAGTCCCACACGGACAGGCTGCGAGGGCTCGGCATCAAAGGGATCATCACTGCACTACTCAGGGCTTCCCACACATCAGAGAGGGCACCTTGGAGACCTGGCTGAGCCCAGGCACACAGGATGGGAACCACCCCTCTGGCCAGCACTGTGCCTCCTTATCTCCATCTCCAGCTGGCTGGGAAGGTCCCTCTTCCACTGGGGCTCTGGGATAGCGCTGGGATGCTTTTGTTACCCCTCTGAATTCCCATTCTTAAAGAAAGTCTCACTCAGGAAACTGTCAGCCAGGGAATAAAGGAAGTACTCAGCTCTGAGTCTGCACAGTCTGGCTGTCCTTTGTCCTCTGAGTAGTGCTCTCCCAAAAAACCTGTTAGAGCAGGGAGCAGTCCTAGGCAGCACAGCCACAGGGCAGCAACTGGTCCCTGATCCCTGTGGCAGAAGGCAGGGGATGGTGTGGGATAGTGTGGTATTTGCCAGTTACATCCACACCAAATCCTTCTGTAGAACAGGAAATTCTCAAAGCTGCTGAGCATCAAACAGGGGTAAGGGGCTGCTGCACAGGGAACAGAACTTAGGGTCCTCATGGGGAGTGTTAAAGAATTAAGGGATAAAATCAGACAGCACAGGCTGCTGCTTCTTTAAAAAAAAAAAAAAAAGTGTTAAACCCAAAGCTGGCAAGAGAAATGGATGGGAGAGGAGAGGCAATGAGGAGAAGTCACCCAGAATCAAGCACTGGAATGGAGAGGATAATCCAGGAAAAAATGCAGCATGGGTTGCTCTGGAGGAAGGAACCAGGAAGAAAGGTGGAAGAGGAGGAAGGGATAAAGGGGACAAAGGTGGACCTGTAGGAGCAAGGAAGATGCACAGACACACACAAAACCCCCAGCATTAAAATAACAGCAGGACAAGTTCAGGGCTCACACTTTTTCAGCTGGCTTTCACAAAATGCTGCCTGTTCCCACTGCCATTAGTGCCCCAAGCCCAGGCACAGCTATGCTGATCTCCTGCTCCAAGCAGAGAGCAGCAGGAACATTTCTGGGATTTAAAAAGCATAGAGCAAAAGAGGATTTTGGCAAACTGGGACTCCAGAGTAAGGGGAAATCCCTGTACAAAGGCTCAGTGGCAAAAGGGGTGTTCTCTAGGGTCCCCTAAGATATTGCACTTGCCCATTTACACTCCTGAGTCTCACACACTTTGCCATTGCAAACCATGGGCTGCAGTGAGGCAGAGTGCATGCAAGCTTCAAGGGACCAGCAAAACTCCCCACTCATGCTTTCCTGCTCATCCTCTAAAAGGAGTTGCAATTTCTCCCAGTTTCACTTGCTTTTATGCCAGAGCTCAGAGAAATCCCATTAATGAAAGCTAATGAAAGATCCTTCTTTTAACTAGGACACTCAGTTCAAAAACCAACTGAAAAAGTCTAGGAATTAAAAATGACAGTTTTTTAGAAGAAGCCAAACAAGCAAAACAAAAGTGAAGGGAAAGTTAAGAAGCAAAGCCAGAAATGCAATGATTAAAAAAGGGGAGAACTTTGGTGTTTCCATGAAACTTGAACCTTTCTCCCCTAGTTTAAGATGCCAGTTGGCTAGTGCTGTCCAGAACTGTCCTTTCTGTGCAGAGTAAGGTCAGAAATCCATTGCAGATAGAGGACAGAGAACACTCACTACACATCAAAAGCAAATCCATAAAATGAAATCATCACATGGGCACATGCACTATAAAAAATTATACCTCCAGATAAATTTAGGTGATGCCAGAGTCTTATGAATAAAAGGTGTAACTACATACACTTGTACTGTACTGAACTTCTTGACATTTATACAACTGTAATATTACAGACTCAAATCCAAAAGTAATTTATATTTCTAAATATAAATTATACCCAACCACAGCTCCTAAATGTTTTTATCAAAAAGATCCAGATTCAAAGCCTTAACAGGCAAGAAAACCTGATGAAAAAGAAGGAGCTTCTCAACACACTCTTCTTAGCAATGTTTATCTTTCCATAACACTGGTGGTACAATGGGAAAGCTGCCATCCCTGTTACTGGGCTTGACCCAGCTCTTCACCATCACATCAGGACAATGCCTGAGGAGACTTTAGGCCTGATTCTTCAAGACAGGCAAATTTAATTTATCTTCTCTAAATTTCCATCTTTCAAATTCTCTGCAGGATTGTTTGCTGGAAGACAACCTTCTTTTTCATGCTTCAGGGACAATTTAGAAGTACTGAAATAAGATTTGCTGGCTGCACCTCAGCTAATTCTCCCAGGAATCCCTACACAGATAAGCAGGATTTCCTAAGGCACACCATGCTGGCTTAACTCAAGTCCTGTGCTTCAGTCAGAACAGAGGTGTGACCACAATGAGCACATCAGAAAACCCCCCCTACAGCCTTCAGCCAGAGGTAGCACAATGTTCCAGTGATGGAAGGAGCTACAGGTCCTGAAGCACAGGTGTGTAAAGGTGTGGCACACAAACACATGCTGGCTGCTACAGGAGTTAACTGGGCTGTCACTGAGTACAGGTGTCAGCAATTAGCACAAGGAGTTTGCCTGGTAACTTACCCGGACTCCCTTGTCGCCAGGCAGACCTTGTAAACCCTGAAATGCATCAACACAGAAAGAAACATTTGAAAACAATCACATTTCACCGTGTTCCCACTAAAGAGAGGAATGTGTGCTCAGGATTTTGGTGGTTTGTTTCCATTTGTACCAATGGCTATGTCAAAAATAAACAATTTTTCCAACAGGCAACCTCCTCTTCACCTCCATCAGACCATCCAGGTGGTAACACCACTACTACCTACCCTATGGACTCTTAAGATAAAAAACCAAATTAGTTACGAGCATGCAAGAAACTTCCTTTTTTGTGTTAAACAACAAAGCCACTCCGTGACTGCATTAAACCACAGCACCAACGCTGGCCCCATTTTGCCAAAAGCAATCCCAGACAGTGGAATTAACCTCACTGAAGGCAGCTTTTGTCCTTGCAATGACAACACAGGGCTCTCTCAGACAGGTGGGATGCAGACACCCAGCTGTGAAAGGTAAAGGGAGCTGCTCAGAAGCAGCATTTTGGACTAAGAGACACATACTGGGAGTCCCACACAGCTTCTTTAGGCAGCTCAAGGACCAAGGTGAAGTAACAATTTCCTTTCAGCCTCCTCCACATCACTCTGAGTCTGCTCTGAAGCTACTCAGCTTTTTCTGTCACTCCCATAGTGAACAAAGTCTTGTAACTTGAGTTACACCTAACCCAGCGGTGACTGCAAACACTGCATTACAGCAGCATCTTCAGCTGTCAAGCACAGCAAGGAAACAGGTTCTGGAGATAAATCCCTAGGACTTCCATACTTACAGGAAGCCCTGCTGGCCCCATTGGTCCTGCAACTCCAGGATCTCCTTTACTGCCCTGAAATGGACACAAAAGAGTACAAACTGTTCACATTCCTATTTAGGACAAACAGGCAGCAGAGCACCATAAAAGAAAAAGCAAAGGATGCATTTCAAAGCACCTGAAAACCCCCAAGGATGAGCCACTCAAGCACCAAAGAGGCCCAGCTGAGGCTCTTGTAGAACAAGGAGAGGGCAATTCTAGCTCTAGGAAAAGCCTAGAGCTCCTCTATCCCTCAGAGCTGTTGTATCTTCAGAGAAGTTCCAGAGCATCTGTCAGTTCTGAAGAAAACTCACCCTTTCTCCTTTTGGTCCTGCTGGTCCCGAAACCCCAATTGGTCCTGGAATACCCTGCATTTGTAGGAAGGAAAACACATCAGGACACTTTTATTCCAGGGCCTCCTTAAAGCCAGGAGAGACTGCTGCTCCCTTAGGAAAAGTACAGCTGGAAGGACAGGCTGGTGGAGGAAGGCACCCAGCACCACTACAGCTTTCAGTGTTGGTGGAGATGGATTTGTAGTTGGTAAGGCAATTTGAAAAACATGGGAACTGCTATGTTAGATCACACCTGCACCATGCACAGAGCCTCATTTTTAATTCTGAAGCTCTCTCCTGACAATTATTTCAGCAGGCATTTCCACCAGCTCCACAAACAGGAATTCTTTCTTTCCAGTTTATACCAGACAAGGCTGAAAGCTGTAGCAGAATAAAGGCCATTTTCACACATGATAAACAATTTGTTTTTCTTTTTGCTTATTTCCCTATTTCTCTACCCCCTCCCAGAGTCAGCATAGTTGAGGAGATGGGAAGAGTTGGGTCAGTGGTTCATGCAAGCTGACAGAGCCCAAGCTGCAGAGCTGAATGCAGGTGTGTACAGATGTGAGCTGGCAGGGGCATCCTCCAGTCCCTCTGCTCCTCCTTTGCCATTCCTGTCACTCCACCAGGCTCCCAGCCATGCTGACAAGAAAACCCAGTGTTTTTCCTAACCCTTTGACACAGAGCCCATCTCCCACCAGCACATCAAACTTCCTTGCTGGTGCTCCTGAGGCTTGCCTGGCCTCTGGGAAATCAATCAAAGTGATCTTTAACGTTGGCAGTAATACCTCTCTGGCTGAGAACAGGATTCCAGCACCTCCAACTCACACTCCTTAAGCCACATAGGCATGGGTCTACAATTCCCTCATGGAGCCTCAATAAAGGGATACTTTCAAGGCACATTGCCTGACTCCTAGGAAGAACCAAGGAACAAACTTCCCAAATGGGAGAGTCTTTTTCTAAAAGCATTAAAGCAAAGGCTCTTGCACATTTTAATGTCAGTCTGCAACGCTTAGTCACTAAAGTAGCCCCTCTGATGAGAGCAGGACAGCTCATGTGGATCAGGAGAGCTTTTCAGAGAAGTCAAGATCTGCAGAACACAAGTTGAGGAGTAGCTCATGCAGCACACAACTTCAGTGTGTCAAAGGAAGAAAGAAAAATCAGGCTCTCTTTAGATTTGTGCAGTCATGGAAATCTTAATTGCCTTCACTTATGCATCATTTACTGCTAAGGAATACACTGAAATCTGCCCTGCATGTCTATAAAATTGTATTTACAGTTTCCCCAGACAAGTGACTCTACAAGCTGCCACTCAGATTCTCTTCAGAAGTCAGAGCAGCTGAAATTATTCCCAGCTACACTGAGGAGGAGAAATTGCTTTTTGTTTTTAAATAGCCAAATGGACTGTACATGGGTGATCTGTGATTTCCCAAGAGGGATTAAAGATATTTGGCTGTTATTTAACAGCTGTTACCCAAGAATAGCTGAGTGGTTTGCAGAACCAGGTTGGCATTACTCAGAATCATGGAATGGTTTAGGTTGGAAGGGACCTTGAAGATCATCTCGTTCCAACCCCCTCCCATGAACAGGGACACCTTCCACTAGACCAGGCTGCTCCAAGCCTTGTCCAACCTGGCCTTGAACACTTCCAGGGGAGGGGCAGCCACAGCTTCTCTGGGCAACCTGTGCCAGTACCTCACAGTAAAGAACTTTTTCCCAATATCCAATCTAAACCTACTAAATCTTTCATTTTGAAGCCACTCCCCTTTGTCCTGTGACTACAGTCCCTGATGATGAGTCCCTCTTCCATCTCATGGAGAATGACAGGTTGGAGACCTGCCAGGACAAAGGGGACAGGAGAACAGAGCATCATGGAATCATGCAGAGGTTTCATTCCTCTTGTTACTGAGACAGAGTGTTACAAGTAGGCTGTGATCCCAGGATCCAGACTTGTAGCATCAAAGAAGACAAGTGTGTGATATCACTCCTCATTTTAAGTTTAACCCCCGCCCAAGCCTGCTTTGGTAAAAGTAAGATTATTCCTGGTATAAACAAGACTTGGGTGGACGACACAACAAGAGTCACGATACTGGGGAGGACAAACATGGGCAAACAGAGAAATGGAACTCACCGGTGGTCCAGGCCTGCCGTCTAAACCTGAAGCACCCTGAACAGGCGGGGAGGGTTCACAAAAACAAGGCAGAGGAGAGGGGAGGAGGGTGAGGGGAAAGGGGAGGGGAGGGGAGAGGTGAGTCAAGCAGTGACTTGAGACAAACATATGCTTGCAATTAACAAAAATTAAGATCTCAAGGACAGGTGATGGCACTTACAAGCAAACCAACAAAAACATAGAAACACTGAATACATATAATGTTGACCTGCAACTTTCAGATCCTCTTAAGAGTGCAAATTTCACTCACTCAAAGCCACCAGGAAAACTCCTGGGGAAGCAGCTGTCCTATGACAGGTGGTGAAAAAGGAAAATGTGACAGTGGAGCTGGAATCTGCATTGCCTTTGTGGCAGGCTGGGCAACACAGGTGAGACACAAGGCTCAGAGGCTGCTGCTCACCAAGGCATTTACAGGCAGTGCAGAACCATCAGCTGTTCAAGCACTGCTACCAAGAAACCCAGGGCTCGTGGTGCCCACTAGGTCAGCTGCAGGCTTGCTCCACTCCACATGCAGTTGTTTGGGGGCTTATGAAACAGGTGGCTCATCTCCCTGTGTCACCAGTGCAGATTTACACCAGACTGAGATCAAGTGGCCCTTTGCTGTCTGCTCGGCTCCTGCCCTGCATTTCCTTCCACAAGGCCTAACAGTGGCTCTGCCCAAGGCCCATCAAGCCCAGTGGCTTGTCTCAGACAGTGGAAAGCTGTGATAGGATGTAAGTACCAAATACTGAGTTTTCCTCCACTTGAGCATTACAAGCTCCTCATCCTGTCAGCCATGGAGTGTAGCTATGATATTTTATGAAAAATCCTTTGCTAGCATTTTTCCCTCCTGGGAAGCTGAGGAGCCTCAGGAGAGAAATGTAAACAATAACTATCTGCTGCTGTGGAATGCAACAGGTGCATCTGTGATTGGCTATTAATTGGAAACAACCAACATTCACCAATCACAGATGCAGCTGGCTCAGACTCTCGAGAATCACAAGATTTTGTTATGCATTCTATTCTTGTTCTTTCTAGCTTTCTGATGAGTCTTTTCTCCCTATTCTTTTAGTATAGTTTTAATGTATCATTTTAATATAATATATATCATAATATAATAAACCAGCTTTCTGAAACATGGAGTCAAGGCTCGCATCTCCACACACAGGGTATTTGTCACAACAATGGAGAAGCCCAAGGCTACTGCAGATAATCAGGACTGGAATTACAGCATGATGTCAAGCCCCAAGTCAGAGAAAATGGCAGCAGATCCAGCTTCAGGATTTTACAGCCTGAAATATTTCAGAACCTGCTTGGCACTGCATTTACTTTGACAGGCTGAAGATACACTGGACTAGGCATTGAAAAGCTCATGAAGAGAGTTCAATGGCTCTGAAGAAGGATACAAGTTCCACAGTATCTGAACTTACGAGCTGTGCTGCCTGGTTGGCCAGCCAGCATTATTGATCCAAACAAAACATTCCTAAGAGGACCCTTCTGAGCCAGTCTCCCACCTCCACAGCTCAGTAAGAGTGATGGGAAAAGCCAAGGGACCTTTGGACCCCCATGGGGCTCACTGCTGTAGCAGAAGCAGCTAGCACATTCCCTGCCACAAAGAGGAGTTGCTGGGATAATTGCTGGGGCACCTTCTGCTTGGGCTGTCACAAGGACCTCCTTCCACTGTCTGGATACCCCAGGGCTTGAGGGAATAACCTTTTACACAGAAAACTTGCATTGCATTTCTCAGGGAACTGGGTTCTGACTCCTCACTGAGGCACAATCCCTGGCCTCTGAGCCTTCCAAAAGCAGCCCTTTCTCCCCACTGCTCTGCCTGGAGCCCCAGGGAATGTACTCATGCTGGGCTCATTTGAGTGCCTGGAGCTAGAGGGGATTCATTCAAGCTCTGGAAGGGAACCACTGCTCAGCACAACTAGAGGAGGAAAACATTGTACAAACAAAGACACGCAAAGTCAGGGACAAGGGACCTGGGTGGTCAAACACAGGACAACAAGCCACACAGCACATGAGATGCACTCTGCAGTGTTTGTTCCAGGCAGAACATTTGGGGAAGGGGGAAGATCTACTGTGCCACTAGTGCTTTTTATGATGAGAGAACCTGGGGGCTGGTGGAACAACTGGGTGGGACTAAGTTACCACCAACTCATCATCAGGTTTGTGCCTAAAGCTCCTGCAACCCCTCTATAATACACTGTGCCCCAATGTCCCTTGCTAAGCCAAGCAGTGCTCTAATACCAGGCTGCTGGAACTGAGTTCACACACCAGGGCACACTGGGCCAGAGGGAGCACTGATTCCTTGGCAGAAGGGACAGGAATGTTTCAGCTACCAAAGGAGCTGGGTGCACTAAGAACCACCATGCTTTGTACAAAGCTTAGCCCAGGAGACAAACGGCTGGGGAAGGCATTTCTCTTTCCCCCATCTCTGACTTGTGTTTCTCATCTTGCCCTGAAGTGCAGAGAATTTCCAGGAAAGCTACTGCTGGATTTTTCCAGTCCTGCCAGAAGCAGGAGGAAATAAAGTGATCGCTCATCTATTCAACAGATCTAGAAGCTGAAGGCTCAGTACAGAAATTGAGGCTTTGGGTTTAAAAAGCAAAGGCACAGTTATTTATAGACAATCTCTTTCTCTGACTTTACATACCAAATCCCCACGTGCGTCTCCTATTGAGGGATCCTTTTACAGCTGATATTAAGTTTGGCTCTCAATGTGCTGCTTGCTTCCTGGATACTTACTGGTAATCCCAGTGGCCCTCTGTCTCCTTTTTCACCCTGGGCACCCTTCTCTCCTTTCACTCCATCAATCCCTGCTTCCCCCTAAAGGAAGGATGGAGCAGAAAATAAACCCACCATAACAGCACTTATATAACAAACATTCCTCCCCTCAGAGAGCACTGGATAGCAGAGGGAATACAAGAGGCAGCAGAGTAATGCTTTAGCTCAGTTCTGAGCCAAATCTGAAGAAAACCACTGCCATTCAAATTACCCCTGTGTGAGCACCTGCTTTAACTCAGCAGCAATAAGAGGAGACCCAGGCCCTGTAGGTAAAGATGTTCAGAGGAGAGCTGAGCTCACTCTGGTGCTGCTCTCCCCTGCTGTTGTTGCTGTATATATATATTTATATATAAATATAAATAACCAGAAGTTATCTGATACGGTGGGTTTACATTTTCAGATGTGGATGCACTGGAAGTGAATGACAGGTGTCTAAAAGCCTTGAAGAAAAATCACACAGAAATAATGTTTGGAGAGCCTTTTGTAAATGCTAAGGCATCAGTTTCAACATTTCAGAAAAAAAAAATAATTTCAGCATTCTTTTCCCAGCTGTATATTTAAAACTCTCTATTATAAACTATAAAGCAATATTAAACAAAATACTCCTTTTCTTAAATTCACAATGTAACCCAAAACTTTTTTCCTCCTCATTGCTGTTTACAAGGCTTTTTGAAACATATCCATCCCTTTTAGTGCCCAAACAATGCTGGTGGCCAAATACTAAGAATAATTAAAATTAAGACACTTTGCACATTTTCCAATCTTTGCCCAGAACCTCACCAGAAATATGCAGCTCTTCTTGAAGATTTCCACTTCTCTATTTTTTGTGTAGGAAACAGTTTTACAGTGGGCAAGCCAATGGTGCAGGCTGAGAATTTAGACGGAGATTAGAAAGATTCTCATCACCAAGGACATTGAGTTTCTTTACAGCAGAATGTACAGGGTAATTTTAAGACTAATTTTTAGCTAGAGCTCAGTTCCTTAGGACTGTGCAGCAGACTATTCATCCCACTGTACAGACCTCCACCCTCCAGACAAAGATTTCAACTGTGTTCTCATGGGCAGAATTCCACAGACCAGTGAATTCCCACTTCTCTGGGTGAAAACTGGAGGGAATTACCATTTTTCTGGGTCCTAAAATGAGAGCTGCTAATCCATTTCCTTCAAGAAAATATCCAGAAGGATTTATCCTCTTACCAAGATGGAAGTAAAGAACCACCTGAACTACAAAGATGTTACTAAAGGGAATTCTAGCACCTGGGACAAACTTTGTTACATTTCAGTATGCAATACTTTATATAGCCTTACCTTGGGTCCTGGGACACCCTGAAGACCCTGTATTTGGGATGAGAGACAAGATGTAAGTAATGTTTCAGGATGGGCTTTAAACTCCAGACTTCCCAGTTAAGCATGCAGTACAAAGGTTTTGCTCTGTGGGGCAGGAAGGCTCAGCCCAAAAGCCTCTTTATTTGTGTAATGGGCACTTCATGTACTGTTCCCATCCCTAACCAGGAGCCTCTTGCCAAGCACACCCTGGCAGGGGGCCAGGTGTGCTGTTAAGACAATTTCTGCAGTTGATCCCTTTAATCCCATCCATCCCATCTCACTACTGTCTTCCCTTTCATCTCCAACTAACAAAACCTTCTTTCTTTGCCCTCCCAGCCCACTGCAGCTCTGCCCTTCCCTGGGGGTGGGTTTGGGAGTGATACCAAGCATGTTCCCATTTCAACACTGCAGTGGTTCTGGCTGTCTTCTCCACACAGAATCCTCCCCAGCCACTGCCTGCTCTAATCCCATTCCCTGGCTCCTCAGGTGAATGACTCAAACTTACTGGAGGTCCTGGAGGGCCTTGGGGTCCAGGGGGCCCAGATATCTGGAAAGCAACACAAGAGAAACCACCATCAATGTGCTGCTCTCAGGGGCAAAGTGGGGCTGCTCAGAGGGGAGACAGGACACAGGGTGCAGCAGGGCTCCTCTGCCAGGCTGGGAAGCCTGGATTCCACCTAAGCACTGCGTTAGGAAGCAGCAGCAGCCCAGGACTGAGTGGCTGGGAAGCAGCAGCAGGACTCAGGGGAGGGTTATGCAGAAGTTGCCAATCCTTAAGAGGAGGGAAAGCAGTGAGGTTTTTTCCAAAGAAAGGTCCACTTCCACTTCTCTACCACCATTCCTACAAGGAGGCATAGGGTCCAAGAGTAAAAGATATTAAAGAAGGTGTCTGGCTCCACACATGGCAATAGCCTGTGGGACTTCTTGCTGCAGGGCACTCCAAAGCTAGGGGTGAGCTTTGAGGGAAGAACAAGCAAATTCAAGAACACCAAAATCTTTTGGGGGAAAAAAAATTACATGTGTATACATACACATGGAAATAATTGCCAGGAAATAATTTAGTGCAAATGCTGAGGAAAGAATTTGTTATGCTTCCCAAGATCTGTTCTTCCCTAGGCATTCCTTATCGATTGGTGGTTGTGAGACAGATTGTTCCTGTGTCAGGGCAAGGAGGGCATCAGGAGCCAGAGGTGGCTGGTGCAGCCCCTCACCATGAGGCTTGCTGTCCCCAGCCAAGGGGTGTCACCAGAGGGGGTGTGCCAGCTTCCAGCACTGCTGTCAGATCATCCCTCCCCTGCTGCTGAGATCCCACAGGAACACAGGAGCAGTGACCCACCGACTCTCCTGGATTCCCTTTGTCCCATGCTCCCCAGCTCCCCTTCTCTCCCTGCACACCACAGCAGAGCCCATCACCACCAGCTGTGCTCGGGAGCCTCCCTCCACTGAAGCTGCCTGTGCACCGCCCATGTGCTGGCAAGCAGCAGCTCCCCCAGGAGAATTGGGAACAGACCACATGTTTCACATTCCCTGTGTGCTGCTGGAGGTCTCAGGGACATTCTGTGACACCTAGCAGAGGAGTAGGGCTCTAAGGCTCCCAGGACAGCCAGCACTTTGGGAAACAAGCCCTCTGTGCTGCTCTGTGCTATTTTCTCTTCACCAAGCAGGAAAGAGCAGCCTTTTCTTTTCCATTCTTACTGTCAATCCTGGAAGTCCAATGGGCCCTGGCAGTCCTGGTGGTCCTGGTATCCCTTGGTCACCTTGTTCGCCTTTCTCTCCAGTGGGGCCATCTAGACCCTATAGATCAAGAAAGATTTGTGGAGTTTTGCACAGCTACGTCAGGCAGACATATAACATGGCAGTGTAAGAGCCAGGACTGGCTCTGGTCATCCCAAGAGCACTCTGAAAACCTTGGACATCCACCAGGTATCCAGGGAAATGCAGGACTTCACTAGCATTGAAAGCAGAGGGGCAAATGGCTGAACATCCTCCTGTCACTGTGGGTGTAGCAGTCCCCAGAGTGGGGATGGGGTGCTGCTTTCCTGCCTCCAAGTTCTGCTCAGGGTTATGCAGCTTGCTGGAGTCCATGCTGGCAATCACTCCCCACAGCCAGCTGTTGAGACAGCTGGAGTTTCATCCTCCAATCCCATAGAGAGGCAGGAAGTCGCTGCACAAGCCCCCCTGAGCAGTGCAGGGCACACAGGAGCTGTGACAGACTGAAGCAGGGAGGCTGGGCACTGCCCAGCTAGCGGCTGGGTTGTGAGGGTTACCCCACGGAGCTGCCCTGCCAGGAGGGGGTCTGCTGGTGCCTCAGCCTCCTGGCTCACAGCCACACCTGCTCACTTCCAGCAGCGTTCCAGGGCCAGCAAGACACCAGGCAGCAAGCTGAGCAAGGGACACAGTGCCCAGAGAGCAGGGCAGGAGCCTGGGAACAGCCACTCCAGCAAGAGGACAACACATGTGCCAGGATCTCCCACACTGTGACACTTCACACAGCAGCAGCACCCACCCTGCAGGGGCTCTGGGGCACCCAGGGAGCCCTGGGACCTTGCTCCATGGACCTGGGGAGGCTTTGGCTGACTCACCGGTGAGCCTGCTTGTCCTGGCTCTCCCTTATCGCCCTTCTCTCCTCTGACCCCGACGTGGCCTGGCTCTCCCTTCATCCCAGGGGGTCCATCCTTTCCTGGCAGTCCCTGAGGCCCAGGGGGGCCCACTTCTCCAGGCTTGCCACGTGGTCCCTAAAGAAAATTCACACAAGAGAAAGGGAAACACTTACAGATGGAGTAAGGCCCAGACAGCTACACCCTTTGGAGACAGGACAAAGTAGCGCTGCCATGACAAATGTTCAGACACTGACTAACCATTAATGCTCCTTTCTGTGAAGCAAAATACTTTTTCCTCATGGGAAAAGCAACTGTGTGATGTTTGACAGAGATGACCCCAGGTAAGGCCTCTGAAGGGAAGAGCATCATTCCTTACCTTTTCTCCGTCGTGGCCTGGAGGACCTGGCAAGCCAATTTCACCCTGAAATACAGAATTGTTACTTTGGCACTTTGAAAGCAGCTATTCTGACTGCTTCTGTGAGGAACTGTGATGAAAAAGGGCAGGCATTGCAGAAATAGCCTGCACAGACTACTCACAGGAAAAAAAAGCATGAAAAATCTAAATTCTTCCCCAGTAATCACCAAAAATAAAGCATGGAAACTCCTGGGTTTTGCTGCAGTCATAGAATTAAGAAAAAAAAACCCAACAACAAAAATCAAAAATAAACACCAACCAAAAAAAAAAAAAAATCTAAACAAACAAAAAATAAACAAACAAAAAAAAACCAACAAACCAAAAAACCCAATGGAAACCCCTGTTGAAACATTACATTATGTGACTGCCTGAGCATTTTCCCAATCTTGTTGATCCTGACTGCCAGCTCCCAGTGCAGTCATTCAGTCCCCAACCAACACAATCCCACAGTCTGGTTCCCACAAGCTGCTTCCTGAAGGGGAGGACAAGTAGAAAGGATCCTTCATCTTTCAGATTAGGCATTATCATTGTGGGAAAAGAGATTTTAAGGATATTTTTGTGTATGAGGAGGAGTGGCAGAGGACAGCAGGACAGTCTGATGGTGCTGGACAGGAAATATAGGAGCACTGGGAAGAGTTGGGGGTGGGAATTCTGCCTGGACCACTCCTGTGTTTCCCTGAGGTCTGCAAGAGTTGAGCTGGGACAATACCTTCTGTCCTGGTGGCCCTGGAGGTCCAGCCACACCTGGACGTCCTGGAGGTCCCTAGATAAAGAAAAAAATTATTTTCATATTTGTATTTTTGTGGTTTGAAACCAAATACCTCCCATAAGTTTAAGGGGCGATCGCAGAGGAATATTCCAAGGGATTCCTAAAATCATATTTTGTTGGGAGGATGAGCAATGAGAGCTGCTCTTCCCTGCTCCTTCTGAGCACTGCCTGTTCTGAGCAGCATGTACGACCTCTTCAAGCAGAGAGATGAAAGCCTGATTAGAATTCAAGTGCCAAGATCAGAAGGCAAGATGAGCTCTTCTTTCAGCTGTCAGCTGCCCCAGCTTTAGCTCCCAATTGCAAAGGCCAAGTGTTTTAGCTGCACCTAAATTGTCAGGCCATCTGCTTAGGATGGACATATGGCTACTTGTGCAAAACCCCACAGCATGGACAGGAACTCACCATCAAGGCCAAAGTTCGTATTTCCTAGGAAAAAAAAAAGTGAAAACAATTAGAAAACAACCATTGGAAAATTAAGCTTTTTCCTGGAGTTGGCTTGCTCTCCACTAATGCAACACTGGCCCAGATGAGTAAGGAGCTTACAAAATTAAGAAGAGAAAAAAAAAAACCAAAATAAACCCAGACTAAAAACTCACTCCAAGCCCCACAGAGCTGTTATTCCACAATTTCTCCCTTTTCCCAGTGGAGCCCAGGCCAGCCCAGAGCTGGGCACAGCCACTCACTCACTGCACTCCATCCTCACACTCCTTGTGAGGAAGCTTTGGTGATTTTATTCACCACCCACCCCATGCTCTGGGCCACTCCCACGGGCATTCATGTCACCTCTATGTCCACCAGAGTCAGTGCACAGGTATTCACCAAAACACTGCAGGCAGTGAGCTGTGGGATGAAGGGGACTGCGGCACAACCAAAGCCTCCCTTTGCTGCTACTGCCAAGGAAGCAGATCTGCACTGTTCCCTGTCTGCATCCCATGGGAAATGGTCAAGCATGCAGCAGTCACCTCACAGGACAGGAGGGCAGCTGCTCACCTGGAGAGCTTCACTGATGTTCCCATCATAGTCCATCATTTCATCCTTCCCAGGCTCTCCTTTGGGGCCCTGCAAAAGACCAGGTCTTCAGCCAGGGGCTGGGACTGCCCTTCCCTTGGGGGGCTCAGAGCTGTGGTTCACTCTGAAAAAGGGGGCTCAGAGGAGCCCATTTCACCAGTGTCCAGTTCTTCATTTGTTAAAGAAAGCCCCTGCAGTGCAGGAGATCCTACAGAATTGTAGCCAGCCCAGCTCAGATCACCATGCCACAACCACCAAGGCTGGTAGTCTGGGAAGAGGTGAAGTTGAGGCCAGGATCCAGGAACTGGATTGTTTGACCAATTGTTAGATGTGTGCATGCATCTACTCCCTTGCTGCCCTTTTTATGGTAGGTCAAGGACCTGAGCCCAGATGGGGATGTCCAAACCCACCTCCTCCCAAGAATGAGCCACCCTGAGATGGCCTGGGAGAATGTTTTCCTCTAATGTAGGGGTGAGGGTATGGAGTGGAGAAACAGCCCAGCTCAAACTTAGCCACTGCCCATCTGTGAGTACTCTTAGTGACAGCAAGACCCAATCTGGACTGTCAGTGTGGTCCCACTATCCTCAGACCCCTCTGAAGGCCAAAATGTCAGTGAAGGAACACCTACCCTTGGGCCCATGGGTCCCTGGTCTCCTGGTGAACCACGTTCCCCCTGAAACAGCAAGATCACAGTTTTAGCAAAGCCTGTCCCTTCACTTTCTTGAACTCCAGGGTCACACTCTGCTGGTTCTCTGAAACAGTCTGGGCTAGACAGCTTGATTTAAAATTCTCCTTCTCAGCTAAGTTTTGTACACACAGGAACAAATCTGAAGCTCAGAACCCACAGCTGTGCAAAGGCATTCCATACCTTTTCTCCCTGTGATCCTGCAGCACCAGGCTGACCAACATCACCAGCTTCTCCCTGGCAGGGAGAGAAAGGGAGAGGCATGGGTTTGTGTTGTGTTGAGCAGGTGCAACTTCACTGCTGCCTTTGCTTTTCCAGGAGGAAGAAATGCAGAACTGCACCAGCCAAGCACCCCTCCTGGGTTCCCCTCTCCTCAGGCAGCCCAAATCTCCTGCCACCACTGCCCACCAGGCACCCTTCAGTTCCACCCAGTGCAGAGGGAGTGTTCACACTGGTTTCTCACAGAGCTTAGAAGGGAATTATTTGAGCACAAGAAGGTTATTTTCCTTCCAAAAACAGTTCACAAACTCTCTCACCTGCAGCATTTAGAACAACAGTACTAGAACACTCTGCAGAACCTGATATCCCTCCAGCAGTGATCAGAGGTGGGCACTGATGAATACAACCTTTGCTCCTCCCTACACACCTTGTGCTGGGTGCAGTCCCTCACAACACACAACTCTGTGAAGGAAAATAATCACTCACCTTTGGTCCAGGGGGTCCAGGCAGACCTGGAGGGCCAGGTTCTCCTTTAGCTCCCACCAAGGCATTCTCAGCAATTCCCTTCTCTCCCTGTTTGCAAAGAAGAACAAGCCACGTGTCTCAGTTCAGACTCTGCACCTCTGCAAGTTCACTTGCCAAAATACTGGCTTAGAGACACGGCCAAGACAAGATCCATCAGCTGGACTCTTGACAGCCCAGAGAGCACTGCTCCAGAGGCAGCAGCTGGCCAGGAACCAGGACAGCATGTCCTGCCTGAGGGTCCCTGTGGAGCCCAGCCAGCAGCCACAGCAACACTCACCCCTTGGGCTGCACTGGGCAACACAAGGCTGTCTGTGCACAGGCCTCATCCCCAGCCTCCCTTTGAACACTGTGTTCTTCTGCTGATGAAACTGAGCTGACTAAACCACCTGATGATGGCTTCTTTTGGAATGCCTCCCTCTGGAGCTGCAGTCACCAGCCACCCAGCCCTGCACACCATGTCCTTTGCACAGAGCAGATAATAAGGCAGCCACAGGAAAGCTTTGCCACTACACCCTCATCCCTGGCATTCACTGCACTGCCTCCTTTCCCAAAGAAAAAGCACCCCGTGCCAGTCTGATTTGAAAGGTGTGATTTCTATCTGAAAATCTCAGAGTACAGGGGAAAAACCAGTTTCAGGGCTTAGCTTTACCTGACCTGCCCTGGGTCTCTCTGAGCACAAAGTTACTCCTCCTACTCAGAGCACAGCAGTGCAGCTCCCAAAAAGCCCAGCTCCTCATCATCCATGGATCCTGGAGGAGGAGAGAGGCTAAAATGCCACGTTACATCTGGGGTCATGCTTTTAAAGGGGAGCTACTGGAACACGATTCCGTGGTCCTGCTCCCAGGACCACAACCTCCCCCTCACTGCATTCCTACAAAAAGGCATCTTTTGTGCGCCTCCCTCACATCCCTGACCAAAGATGACATTCAGCTGAGCAGTGCAGAGCATGCTGCCACAGTCAGCTAAGAATGTGTGAGCTGGGCACAGGAGGGAGGGAGGAAAAGTGGTGAGAGTAGCCCCACCAAAAAAAAAAAAAAAAAAATTCAAGAAAGAGACAAACCTTTGGGCCCGGAAGTCCAGGAATTCCAGGGTCACCAGCTCGTCCCTTCTCACCCTGTTGGCAAAACAGACATGGTCAAGGCTGACCCTGCAGGCTCTCCATCCTGGAGGAGCAGTAAAAGGGTGATCTGCTCCTGGTTTCACATCCTTTTTCCCTTCCCAAGGGATTTTATTTTGGGCACAGACCTTGAGCAGTACCAGCTCAAGACATTACATGTTTTTGCCCATCCTTTTAACCCTCCCTGCACATCATTGCCATTTCTCTCCAAAGGAAGGTGAACAAGAAAGGGATCCAGAGTCCCCCCTGTGCATCTTCCCTATCCCTCTGGCCTGCTGAACACTTCTCCCTGTCACTTCTTCTGCACAGGATTTCCCTGATCCATATGCCCACAGAGGCTGTTGCCCAGGGTGAATTTTAATTGGAGTGCAGGACTTTCTCCATGTCCTGCTCCTCTTCCCTAGCTCCAAATCCCAGACTCATGCTCTCAAATAAACCCAAGCAGTGCAGCATCGCAGCTGGCAGCCAAGCTCTGGGACACACTCTGGTCTGTAAGCAGTGAAGGCAGGAGTGGCAAAAATGGCAAAGCCAGCAGCTGATGGTGTAAGATGATGCCTGGAGAGCTGCAGGCTGAGCCGTGTGAGGCACCATGCCACGGGCAGTGAGCAATGGAGAGCATCCAGCATTCCCTTGGTGAAGTGGCTTTGCTCAGTTCACCATGGCACCTGGGCTGTATTTTCAATATTGGAGATCAATTACTGGTCTTTATGTCGAAGTTCTCTTCAGACCATTCCACCCAGCTGCTAAACCCATGTTTTCCAGGCACAGTGTCCTGTCTGGGAGTCTACATTTTGCCAGGACAGAGAGAGACATTGGAGGTTCTGTTACCCTGAAGGGATGTTTCACCAGGGAAAGGTGTGTTCTTAGCCACTATCGCCACAGCTCCAAGACTCAGCAACTTGTACAGATTATACAGAACAACTCAAACCCTCTTTCCCCCCACAGGTGGCCAGCTCTCTCCTGGAGCCATGCTGCTGGCCTGCAGAGGCTGGTGCTGCTCATCAGAGCTCAAGGGCACTCATCTGACATGCAGGGGACTTGCACCAACGCTCCAGGAACAGACATGCACTGGTGGCTCCCTGGAAAATAATCTACTAGGAGCAATTTTTTTGTCAGGCAATTCTAGAGTGCAGTGACCCCTTTCTCCAAGGTAATTTGGCTTCCAGCCACCTGCAAGCCCCCCCTTCCCCAGCTTTCTTTCCCTGCCAGAGCATGCACATTGCTAAATTAATGCTTCTCTCCCTGGAAAGAGGGAAAACATTTTCAAGACCTCATATGCAAGGAACAGGTTTGGTATTGAAGGTTTTTGTAAAAATATAATTCTTAATCCTGTCCCAGGGTTCTGTGAATCCCTGATTCTGCCTTGGTATCCCACTTTTCATTCAAGGACTGTTTTGAATACACATGCCCATAAGAACTACTGAAAACATCCTGTGCTGCCAGAACTAGGGTGCAAAGCAGTGGATTTCTTGAGGAAGGAGGTCAGATTACTGAATCCCTGTTTAGGGTGTTATTTCTGGAGTCAAGCGAAGTGGCACTGTCCTTAATCGTTCCCGGGACAAGACTACATCCCAGGCATCTCATGCTGCCCTGCCTGCCCCCAGCCCCCACCTCCTGCAAGCAGGAACACACAAACACACTTCACCAAGGGGGCCAGAGCCAGCACAGGACACATAATCCCCTGCAAGCACCACAATGCAGCACACAGCAGCTCTGCTGGCAGGAACACAGCGCTGCCAGGACACCCAGCCCAAACACGCAATGTCCTACCCGCTGCCCCCTCTTCCCTGGCAAACCTGGGGGGCCCATCCTCCCTGGCACTCCAGAATTTCCCTTGGTGGGGAAGAAAAGAGACAGAGAACGTGTGTGTTACATGGCTGTCACATGCTGTAACATAAGCCAGCCAGCCTCAAACAAGAGGAGGCAGCTGCTCCGGGATGGACAGGGATGGGGCAGCGCTGCACTGACACGGGGACAGCCCTCTGCAGGGACATGGGAAGGCTTTGGGGCACAGAAGGGCTGGGAGCAGAAAGGGGGCAAGGGAAGGGGCAGAGGGAATCTGCTTCCTAAGCAAAGTGTGCCCTGTGTCTCTTGTGGAGTAGGCAGCTGGAAGGTGTTCCCATGGACACAGACATGAGCAGGAGGATGGAAATATTTGCAGTATGGTCCCTCTCTCCCTTGGTATCACTGTATCCTACTAACAGTTTGCTGTGAGTGGCAGGTGCCATTAGGGCCTGGATTTGGGAAGTACACAGACATTTCTCAGCTCCCTCAGCTGCTCAGGGAGGGGAAAAATACACAAACCAACCAGAAGTGCAGGCTCAGAGCAAAACCTTCTGAGAGTACCTTTTCTCCTGGAAGCCCAGGCTCGCCCTGGTGAGAAAGAGACAGGAAAATAGAGTGACAAACCAGGAGGAGAGAGTACAAATCCCCCTAGAGCTATCAGAGTATTCACCTATAGGGGCCTTGAGCTGGTAAGTAAGGGCACGAGAGTGCTTCAGTTGCAAATTTTTGTGCCTGGAACTTCTTTTATCTTCATTAACCCTAAGAAACCACCAAACCTCAGACTCATGGCTTCCATGGAACAGAGCAGCCATCTTGCAGTACTTGCACATGTTTGCCAGATACAAAAGAGCAGAGCTAGACAGGACTCACGTGCTGGCACAGAGGAATTTGGCACTCCCGGCTCTGTTTGCACAGAAGAGGGAGGCTGTGCCGATATGAGCTCACCAGGGCTGAGGCTGCAGACAGGTCTGGTACCTCTGCCAAAGGCAGGCAGTTCTGATATTCCCCATCAGTGGGAGCTGTCCGACCATTTTCCAGCGCCTTGCGCTCTCCCAGCCCCAGCCCGTGCCCAACTCGAGGCATCGCAGCCCAAAACTGACCTTCATCCCTGCGGCGGCCATCCCGGGAGCGCCCTGGCAGAGAGAGCAAAGACAGCAACACCTTGTTTGAAATTAATCGGACACTGATTTTTTTTATTTTTTTTTTAAACGAAGCAGTATCAGTCAAGTGAAACTAAAAATGCCAAAATCCACATCTCCTTTCCACAACTCAGCGGGGTAATGCTGTAACACCACACAGCACACGTCCTCATTCCCTGTTCACCTATGGCAGTGGCTCTGGGTTCCAGAAAGCTCTTCCAAAGGCAGGCACCATGAGCACAACCCCATCAAGACAAACGGATTCCCACCCCCACCATCCCTGGTTTTAGTCCTGCAAGGGAAGCAAAGGCCAACAAGCAGAACAGTGTCAAGTAACTGAGGAATGCAAAGACAGACCAAGAACCAAACCCTCACTTCAAGGCTTGAGCCCAGACACCTCAGCTCAAGCATCCTGAGAAAGGCTGGCTCATACCCCAGAGCCTTGGCCTTGCTATTCCCCCTCAACCTGTTCTTATCACAGAAGACAAACCCTGCAGTAAAATGCTGCCAGGAGACCTCTGAAGCCAGACACCTTAGGGAAAAAAACTTCCAAGCAGTGCAATTCAGGTGTCATTCTGCAGTGCAGAGCAAGCCACCACCACAGGACCTTGGAGTGCAGGCTGGCTGTCCTGCCATCCCAGACAGGTGCCTAGGAGCCTCAGGAGGCAGCTGCTCCCACAGGGACTGTCACATTTCCCTCAACAGCACTGATGCAAAAAGCAAGTTGTCCCTGTCAACCATCCTCTCTGAAATCTCTGTGTCCCCTGTGTTAGCATTCGTTAGGTCCTGGTTAGAAAAGGTCCAGTTAAAAAGGCAAATGTGAGGGATAACTAAGGAGAAGGGAGGGACTGGTGTTAGAAGTTGGGAAATATGAGGGGTTGGGATGTAGCACATGAGGCAGTGCAGAGGACTGGGAGCCAAATTCAAAGTGAAGAAAGCTTGGAAAAGTTCAAACAAGGAGAAGTGGGAAGCTAGAGAGCAGCAGGATCATACCTCTCAGCTTTCTGAAACAGAAATCGGGGACAAAAGCTAAAAAACACAAGGACAGAAGACGGAGATCAGGGATTCTATGCAATAAATGGGGGTAAAAAGCATTCCAGATTGTCTCAGGGTCAGTAGGTTCTAGCCAATATGGGCTGGAGTCATGAAAGGGATAACGTGCAGTAAGTGGCTTTGGTTAGGCTTTTGCAGAGCCTTGGGATGCCTGTTCCTCATTTCTCAGCTTTCAAACAGCAGTGAATGCAGACCATGTTATTTTCTAGTATTTATCCTTAAACTGCAATCCACAGACATGCAGGGCTGCTCACACACTGACCCTGATTCCTCGCTGTGTTAGCCCAGGCTCCCACTTGGGCAGTCCTGCTCATCCCAGCTGGGCTACCACACACCTGCAGTGGTCACCTGGGACAATTTACAAAATGCCAATTCCCTACAAACATCAGCAACTGGCTGCTCTCACTGGTGTAAAGCATTAAGATCCTGATGTTGCAAGTCAGCATCAGACTGGGCATGCCATTTGCTGTGTAAAACACATCTTTCCTCACCACTGCCTTCATAAATGAGGCCCTGCATTTTGCAATTCAGAAGCATGAATAATTCAGCTGAGGACAGTCACTGGCTCACAGACACACACAGAGATGCCTGGGCATCAGGGGCAGTCGAGTGCTAGGGGTGAGGTCAGGCAGACAAGCGTCACTCCTCTGGTTACAAGGTACCTTAGAGCCATGTCTTCCTGGCAGCCCTGGCATGCCTCTCTCCCCCTGGAAGCAGAGCAAGACACACAGAGAAAGACAGCAAGAGACAGGAGATGAGTCCTCCCAGGGCTCCATGAGGAGAGTCCAGGGCACAGGAGATGAGAAACCCTCCTGAGCGAGGTGAGGCACGTCTTTCTTCCCCGCCTGACTGCCCCAGCTGGGGCCATTTCCCATCAGCGGCCCCTCTCAAGCCTTACAGCAGGACTGACCCCACTGCAGTGCCACAGCCTCCATACCCTGCCACCACATCCCAGCCTGCTGTAGGGCACAGGGAGGCACTCAGCCTGCAGTGACTCTGGGATGAACAAACCTATTTGGAGAGACAGAGAATCCAAGGGTTGCCTCGTGCTGCTAGCCTGAATTTTGTCTGCTGATAACTGGAAAATAAAACATCCTCAGGCAATCTGCATGCTGGTGCTGTCATTTTGTTGTGGGTGTTCAGTCCTTGCTTGGGTTATTTAGCAGGGATATATATATGCTTTTTTAAAAAATAACTTTTTGTAATTGCATTGTATTTTGTAAAACACCTTCTAATACCATAATATACACGACCTAGTGCAGGCACCTCCTGCCTTACATAGTCCACTTAACTACCCTATTTTCAGCAGTAAGAAAAGTAAAGCATTAATTAGGAATACTTTGTACTGGAGAACGTGGATTGGTCTCTCTCCTTCACAACTATGCTCCCTGTCTTTTTTAAGTAAGACCCGGCAGGGAAGACCGATGTTTTCTGCTGGGAGACACCCACTCTGCTTGCAGAGACCATCCCCACAGGGCAGCCCAGCCTGTGACAGTAATCCCCCTTCCCAGAGACTTTCCTGGAAGAGCTGTTTAATTATTTCACCCTGCAAAAGCAAAGCCCCCTCGGTGAGAGGGAGCACGGTAACCCCCAGAGGGGCAACTCGGAGCCAGCAGCCTGATGATGCTGGCACAGCCCCCGGCACCGGCGGGATCACACAGGCACTAGGGCTAATTAGAGAGGGCAGCAACAAACGTGACAGTGCGCCACTGAAGAACAGAAAGAAACCCAGCGCCGGAGAAAAAGCAGGAAAAACAACTCTGCAGAACATCTTTAAACCCTTAAGTGTTTGAAAGCCATTGTAGCACAGCGAGTCCCCGCTGGGCTGCTCCCTTTGTGATGCCCGTGCCCTGGGAGCTGCGCACAGTGCCGTAGCCAGGCAGCAGCAGCCTCCCACCAAAAGCAGCACTGGAATGGCACAGCCGAGTCAGGAGCTGGGTACCAAAGGTAAAACATCCAGCACAGCTCCCCAGGGGGCTGCAGGAAGGCAACCAGTAGCACGTCCCAGCTCTCCTGAGCCTCGTGCTGGTTTAGGAAACATCTCCCCCGCGTCTCTGGAAGAGTCAGGCTACACCTCTCCTCTTCACACAAAGAGCCCACACTCTGCTCTACCTGCTGTGAGCAGCTTTATCCCCTCTGGGTGCCAATGATGCCTCACCATGATCAGCTCATCAGCTGCCAGTTAATGCAGATACCCTTCCTTTTTGCTCTTTGCTGTGAGAGGCAAATTGTCAGGGGGTTTATTAAGAAAGGCTGCGGGCACTTTATGGCTCCTTCCTCAGAGCATGAGAAAAAGCCTTATGCTATGGATCTTTCAGTAAGAAAACATCAGTGAAGCTGAATGTGACAGGGCACTAAGTCAAATGCTCATTCAAGTGGCCCAGGTGATCACAATCACTGCCTAATGACCTTCATGAGACACAGATTTAGGTCCTTACATGATCAAAGTACAAATGGTGGCCACAGAAAAAAACAGCTGAGAGACAATCTAGGTTGTGCTGCACCTGCCACTGGGTGGGGAGAGGTGGTTAAATGAACAAGGGGTCTGTGTGGTGCTAGGAAACTTCTTCAGGCCTGAGATATTCTTCACTGCCAGCCAAAGCAGTGATAGTCCATACAAAATTGGCCACTACATCTATGAATCATAGTGTTTGTCCAGGGCTCCTCAAGGCAAAGAGAAGGTAAAATGTAGTCCAGGTAATTGGATCCAAAGTTGGAAGATTTAAAAGTCTTCCAGAGTCCCAATCAATCCTCCTAGGTGGGAGGACAACAGAAAGAAGCAATTTCCAAAGACAACAAATGCACGTGCTGTTGGATGCTCAGGAGCTGCTACTGAATGAGGTCTGGCTGCTGATTTAAGAATGTGTCTGCACTTCCCTTCAACTCCTCTGAGCAAAAAGAAAGGAAGTCAAGAGAAAATTGACCTTGACAGTAACAAATGATGGTCTGTGTGTGAAAGAAACTGCTGCTTTGGAGCTGCAGAGGTGCCCCTTTGGAGCTGCAATTTGGAGCTGTATCCCAAAAAGTGTGGTGGGTTTCATCTCTGCTCTTCCTGAAAGGGGGTGTGTAAGACATAAATAAAGGGCCAAGTAGCAAGACTGTGTCTCCAGGGTGGCCCCAAGCCAGGGAAGGCTCTCACCCTCTGGATGACCCTGGGACATGACTGGAGACTTCCCCTTTGCCAGAACCCACATGAAGAGCTGGCTAGTGCTTGTGCATGGGCATGAGCAAAGCAGGTGTTCCAATGCTAGCAGTGAAACATGGGAGTTTCAGCAAGGACAAAACACAGCTTCTCCTTTCAGCCTTTTCTCCTTCCCAGGCAACACTCTGAGTTCATCCTTCAGTTCAGTTTAATGGGAGACCTGCTGTCGAGAGAGCAGCAAACTCCAAACCCTCAAAGCACATCAGTTCTGGGTGCAATTCCACCTTCGTTCACAATGGCACAAAGAGGAGCAATACCTTTGTGCTTGAGGGAATTACACTGATGTGGACATGGACACAGGGAAATACATGCACTGAAGTATTTCTGAGGAGGTGTTCTCCTGTAGGAAGACAATCCCTGCTGCTCTATTCAGCTATGTACCCAGAGCCTGCATTCCCAAAGAACATTTCTTTAAACTCCAAGTAATGCATCCTTAGTAAGCTCTGAAGGGGCCTTTTCTCTCTTCAAACAGCAATCCATCCAGATGGAAAAGATATAGAAAGTGTATGTGCTGCACGATAAATGAGCTGCATGCCACACACTAAATACTTGAAATGTACGTGTCACAGTTAATGCCTTTCCAAATATTACAGGACCAGTCTTTCCTCACAATGTCTAAGATGTATGGCATGACACAGTGTGCTCTGACTGCCATGAACACTTGCCAATGTTGTAATGTTTTAAGCACAGTCTACATTGAGTAATATACTTTAAATATATGGGTACAGTAAATTTCAGTCAAATAGATAACATCTGGGCAGAGACCATATGAGCCTGTAAAAAGTGTCCAGAAACAGACAGAAAAGCTGGTGCCAAACCTCAGCCTGAATGGCGGAGTTTGAGCGGATTTGATGCGTCAGCTAACCAGATTTTATGAGGAAACCCCAACCTAGCCCATCAAATAGGGAGATGCAACAAATCACCAGCAAGCTTCATAGTCAGAGAAATGCCTTTGGTAAGAATCGAATTCCACCGAACGGATGAAGGCAGCCTTTACTGCCTGAGCTCGGAGTGCCTGTCTGTGGTTAATCAGAGCACAGATGTGTACTCCATCAAATACCCCACTCAGCTGCCTTGCACCCAACTTCCCCTTGTAATCCATCAGCCCGAGGAGCAGTATCTCCCAGGTGATCTGCTGTGAGTTAGGAAAATATATTTGTTGTGCCTACCTTTATGCCAGCGTCCCCTTTTTCACCCTGCCCAGCAAAGGAGAGAGAAAGGGGGGAAACAGAGAGGGACAGTGAACATAAAGGGAAACCAAGCAAGCAGTAACAGCAAGAGACAAAGAAGCCAAAAGAGGGGTGTGATAAATGCAACCCCAGCACTCTGGGTCTCCTCACAGCAACATGATACCAGTCGAGCACTGGCTGCAGCCCTGCCCTCCCAGGGAGTGCAAAGGCAGCTTAGGTCCTTGGAGTGGATGCTGGAGGTTGCCCACACCAACGCTTTTCTACATGATAAGGGTGTAGAAACCATTGAAACATTTCATGGTCCATAGTACCCTCATTTCCACAGCCCTGGTGCAAAAGCCTCTAAAGGCTGGGTCGGTTTTATTCTTTAATGGGGGACTATGTAGGTCCTGGTTCAGGACAGCATGGAATCACCTTGGCCAACAATTGCCCAGATTCTTCACACAGGAGAAAGTGTTCCTGTCTACGTGGTTCATTCCAGGCTCCAGAGACCTGTCTCCAGCCCCTGGCCTTTGATATCCCTTTAGGATAGGCTTGTGCCAGGCTATCTGCCCCTGAGGGGTGCCCCCTCTGACTGGAGTTCAAGGGTTACCTTGGGGCCAGAGGCTCCAGGGAGGCCATGGGCACCGGGCAGGCCTGACTCGCCCACCTCACCCTGAGGAAAAGAACAAAGAAAACAGTGGAAGAAGCAAACACAGCAGCAAGGAAAGGCTGTGGGTTGCCAGAAAGGCCAGCAGAGGTGTGAGAGGGATGTCCCACACACACCAACCTAGCCCTGGCTCTCTGGGAGAGGAGCACCACTCTGCATCAAGAAGGATACTCAGTGTATGAAATGCACGGAGTGGAGGGAGCAGCCCCATATCCTACATCATATCTGAGTTAACAACTTCCCTCAACATTTCACCTTCTTTTCCCTTCCCATGGGATTTGGTGCCTTACATTCATCCATTCCTTCCAGCTTTCCCAGGGAAAGCCTTGGGCTCATCCTTCAGGATCAGGGTGGGCTCTTGGCTGGGCAGTGAACGAGCCAGACGAGTTGTTTCATGCAAGAGGAGCTGCTGGGAGAGGCCCTCGCTGTGAGGTCGCTGCCAGAGCCGCCCGCCCTGCGCACACGGGACAGGACAGGCTCCTAATGGAAAACCCCACGGGTCGCTGGGAGAAGGGGCAATAAATTCTGTCTGCCTGCAGGAGTGGGCTGTGGTCTGCAGGGGCTGTAATTTCCACTTCCTGACATAACAAAAACTTCTCAGTTTATACAGAGCTAATTAAAAAGCTCTCAGGTCTTGCCATTTTGCTTGCAGAGCACCCATAAAGCAACGTAGAGATAAAAGGGGACACAGGACTCCTTCCTGCTGGGAATATTCACCTTCCCCTTCTCCAGCTGACATCTCTTTAGCAGTATCTCTTCATTCCCTCTCTCCTGTTTGATCTCCCTTTGTGTCTTTCCCCTGTCTCTCTTCCTGTCTCTTCATTACACCCTCCGGGCTTGACAGCCCTGCTGTTAATCAGCTGCTGCTGAAGGCATTTGGGCATTGCCAGTTTCTGCCTTTTAACCCAGGGCAGGATTGACTCTTTCCTGTATCCCAGAGAGCAATAGCCAGGGATTTGGCCCTTTTCAGCTTCCCACATGGGTCTGGATGCATAAGAAATGCATTTCAGCCTGGAAGTGGGTGTAGAGAGGCACACACACACACATACAGGGAGATATTTGTTCCATAGCTGCTGGGGAGTTAAAGAAAACTCTGGGCCCAGGCTCTCTTTACACAGGTGACAGCAGGGAATCTGTGGGCCTGTTGCAAACCCAGCAGGAGCAGAGCTCCACAGGAGGCTCCAGCATAGCCCACAGAATTTCAGCCATGATTCCAGAAAGCATTGGTGCACTTCATTCATGGAACAACACTGGAGCTTCCCTCCTTACCTTTCTGCCAGGGTATCCCTGAATCCCAGCATCTCCCTGCAAAAGGCCAAAAGACAAAAGAAAGTGAGGCTTGGCCTGAGAGGGACAAATCTCTGTCCTCTTCCCTGGGGTATTGCTGGGATGGGAGAGCATTCCACGGGGAAAATCTGCCTTTTGCTCCGAGTGATTCCAGTGAGCTCCTGTCCCTTCAGACCCACCGGTCAGCGTTACCAGCACTGGGCTGAGCCCTGGCAGGAAAGCCCTGGCAGACAGCTAACCTGTGTCAGCTCTGTGCCCCAGCTCCACGGTTCCCATCTCCTCACCCTGGCTACATATCTCAGATAAAAACAAATTAGGTTGGGCGGCTGCAGCTGAAAAAGAACAACAACCACCCCCTCCCTCGCACTTTGGCAAGTGAATAAATGGGAAACCGTGGCAGAGTTAACAATAGCATTGCAAAATCCATTCCTGAAGCACTGGGAAATGCTTTGAGAATGGAAGAAGCCAGTAAAGCTGTGTGTGGCAAACAATTTTGCAAGATGGGCTGATGAGGCGTGCCTGGCTCAGTCGAGATGCAACTCAGACGTGTCGCCTGGACGAAACCCATGAGTCAGCACAGGGGCTGGGCCCCAGAGGCAGTGCTGAGCTGGGTTAGAAATCCTTCTCAGCTCTTTGATGTAACCTCTTTTACCCCTCCTCCATCCATCAAAATGTACACATCTGTCCTCGTCAGGAGGCTCCATCTCTGTTCATCATCTTTCTACACCTCTAAGCGAGGTGAGATGTCTCACCTTTGGTCCAGGAGGCCCAGGTAAGCCCTGTGGATAAAGTCAAAACAGACACTGGGGTTGGAAAGTGCAGACATTACATGGACAGCAGGGTGATGGGGGGATGCTGGCTGGTTTGATTTGAAACACTCCTTAGAGATTTGCACTGGTGAGCTCAAACATCCCCAATCTATTCTTCATGCAGATATCTTAGTGCATACACCCAAATAAACTTATGCCCACAGTGCTCCATCCCCGCAGGTTTTTCTTGCTCAGTTTGAAAACTAAAAAGCTGCTTTGCCTTATGCATTATGCTCAGAATCTTTTCTGTTTCTCTGGCTTGCTTGGGGAACTTGTTCCCAGCCCACTGCAGCTCTGGAGTAAATCAAGCATTTGCAGCTTCCTCTGGCAAGCTAAACAGAGAGAATGTATTAACAAACACACCACTTGTGTCTCTAAATGAGAAATACCCAAACAATTTACCTGATATGAACCATGAAGCATACCAGACATACGTGTGTGTAAATATAAATAAACAAAATATCTATGCAAGAGCTGCCTGTGAGCAGGCAGGAAAGGAAAACTACTCTAGATAATCTCTGATGCCTATGCCACCTGCTCTGGCAATTCAGGTGTTTAGCCATCCTGTTCTTGGCTCCTCAGAGAGAGATGAAGATCTCCCAGAGAAAAAGGACAGTGCTGACCCCTGTATTGTGTGGGGAGAGGTGCATTTGCCTCCAGGGACAAGACTTGCTTTTCCTGCTAGCAGGCCTTGAAAACTCTTGGAGATGGAAGCTCCTTTCATTCTGCAGCGGCTGCAGAGCCAGCATGCCACATTTGCCCCTGCAGCTCCATTCTGGTACCCACCTTTCCATCCCTGCCAGGCTTTCCAGGCTCTCCTGCTCTGCCCTGTTGCAAGAGAGAGGTACATTAGCAGCACTTTCTGCCCTCTGCCCTGCCATTCAGCAATGGTTTTATTTTATAAATGGTTCTTCTGCTCCCACCCTCCTCGACTGCTTGCTAGGGCAGGGACAAGACTTCAAAGGGGTGGCAGGGAGCAGGACAATTACACCCCACATGTTACTTCCTCCCCGGGGCCATCTGCAGGGGCTGACGAGGAGGAAACGAGCCTGGTGTCACCCACTGTGTGTCCAGATAGCAGCAGTGCCCAGTTCACATCTCTGCCTTCCCTCTGACTCCCCTCCTTCCCCGGAACTTCTTCCTGTCCACACATCCACACTCTCTGCAAGCCTCCTGTCCGTGGCTATCTCAGCCTCACTAGAAGCAACAGAGGAAACAGCCTGTGCCCTAGGGGATGGGGAAGCAGAAGGATTTCAGTTTTGGTAAGGACTTACAGGGGGTCCAACTGGCCCAAGACGTCCTGGGATTCCTTCGGGTCCAGCTGGTCCAGGGGGTCCTGGTGGACCAGGGGGCCCCGGGGGACCTTGGATCCCCGCCTGTCCTTGTTCACCCTGCAGTTTGTAAAACAAGAGTTAGCAGCAGGCAGAGCAAACCCTTCACACCACCACCCTAAGGGCCCAAGGCAGGCCAGCCTGACTGAAGCAGAGGAGATAGAAGCAAGTCCCAGGTTACTGCCAGGAGAAGTTTCCAAGAGTGATGGAGAGCCCTGCCGAGAACAGCTGGGCTGCCTGGGGAGCAGAGCCAGCACCCAATGGTTTGCAAAGACTTCTGAGGTCACCTGGTCAGAGCTCCCTTCTAGAGGCATCTAGAGATGACAGAGCAGTCCAAAGAGACCTTTTTCTTCATTGAGCCAGCCAAGAGAAATTTATGTGTCAAAGACCAACATCTCTTAAGTCTCTGAGGAGGCTTTCCAAAGCACTTGACTGTCACATGTGAAGCAAAGCCTCCCGTGACGACACTGGCACTTCCAGGCAGAGCCACAGTGTCTTACCTCAGCCAGTTTCCCCCCATACTATATTTGTTGGACAACACTCCCTCTGTTTTGCCAAGGCCCAAAAGTAGAAATGCCACAAACCCAAAAGAAAATAACACGATCATCATGGCATTCCTGGAGCCCACCCAAGGCAGGCCCACGTACACCAGGCAGAGCCTGTTTTTCTGAGATTTAACAAGGCAGTGCATGCTGAGCCACCTGCCATTTTCAGCTCTCTGAGATGGAGCTGTTTGAGCCGGTTCCTCCCCAGGCCCCTCAGTAGCCATGGGTGGCTGTGGCTCATGCCTCAGCAATGTCATCTGGCCCCAAGGGCCTGGACGTGGCACCAAGCGGCACTGAGGAGACAGTGGGTTGGAAGCACCACGTTTGAATACCAGACTGCTGACCTATAATTGATTAATCCAGCTCCCAGGGCACTGTGGCACCCGTGCTAAGCTGCTCGCTTATTAGGCTCACCTCCCTAGACAAAGTACCATGAGAGCCTACTGCTAGTGATCCAATTCAAACCTGAAAAACTTCCCTTGGTGGATCCATGGGAATCTAGAAACCAAATATGGCTGTTTCTCAATTAAAAGTCAGTGGGTGTGCAGTTGGGTCTCCGCTGCATTTATCCTCTCTACAGCCTTACACATTGGAGGAAAATGCATGAAATCTGTCCCCTGTGTTCCTACCAAGTGCACTGTTTATCCTGGCTGCCTTTAGTAAAACATGCAGATACAGGGATGTTTGCTTTATTTAGAATGATAAATGAAAGTAATAAGCTGCAAATTTCATCCTTTCTGCCATGAGCTCTATTTAAAAGAAAATTTCCAACACGTGGGCCAGGCTCACGAGAAGCTCGGTCATATGTGGAGCAACAGCCCTTTTCCTGTGCCTCACTGCCCAACCCTCAGCCCACACTGGGAAGCCTGCAGGGCCAGGCAGGAGGGATGCCCTTGCTTCTCCCCAGTTTTAAAGGGGATCTTCATTCATCCTGTGGCCCTTGCAAGGGAATGCAGATTTTTTATTAAGCTTCCTTATCCTCCATACTCAGTGCTATTCAACTATCCTGTAAATGGTCTCATAGCTTTTAAATATGGAAGGTAATTTGGACCTAATGAAGATGTTGGGAGGACACTGGAATATATTTCTAGATTTCCTCTTGCCTTAACCTCTCATTCCAGCTTCAAAGACTTCCCTCTCACTGCATCTTGTAATACCCCCAGCATGGATGCACAATGGGAAGACACAGGGAGCGTTGCCCATCTCACTTTGGCTCTCTCTCTATTCCCACCTCAGCTACTCTCTGCCAGCCCAGTCCATGCTCTAGATTTAGGGCACTAAAATGCAGCATGGTGCTGGAACGGGGCGCTGGTAGGGGACAGGGAGATGGCAGAGCAGGAGCCCTGCCCCAGCACAGGGAGTGGCTGGAAGGAGCTCACCCTAAGTCACATTTGCATCACCCTCACTCTGCTGTCTTGGGCACAGCAGGCTTTGTTTAGGCAAGTGCCTATCCTTGCAGATGCCTAAACACACAAAGTGTTATTACCACATCATTATAGCCTCATTAATGTGTTCAGCACAAAAGGACCCCCACAGAGCTAAATGGACAGTAAGTGGATACAGTTAGTGGGAGATCAGGTGTCATTTTCCTCAGTTGTCATTCTATATTTTTAGCTGTCGACTGGAACTATTTTTCAGTTCTTTTAAACACCAGCCAGCCACCCTGCCTACACCCCAGCAATACAGTGCTTGCTCAGCCTCCTCACAGAGGACCCCGCTCAGCCCGTGCTCAGCTAACCCCCAGACCTGGGGCAAAGCACTCCTGCTGATGTGCTCAGAGCTAGCAGCAGGATTTTCCTCTCTTCCAGGTGCTGGTGCTAACATCCATTTTGCAGCCCCACTTTTTTCCTTAGTACTCACAGGCTGGGCTCCTGGAATTGCCTGGCGGTGGCAGATCTGCAGGAGCAGACCCTGTTGCATTTAGAGAATGAGTACAGCAAAGGCAAAACGGATCATGGCAAAACTCCGGTGACGTTTTCCTCTGTGGACAGAGGGAATTTGCAGCCCTGGCTGACGACAGGATGTAGGGCAGCTATTCAAGTTTCCCACTTCATCCTGGAGAGGAACTTCAGCTTTCAAAGCCTTCCCAAGAGGTCAGTCCTTGGCCTGGCTCTCCAGACTGTCACTTTGAAGGGCAAACAGTGCAATCCGTGGGGCTCTGTGTGGTGTGAGTGCTGAATCGATAGAAACTGAACTGAAACCACGGGCTCAAGTGGGAAGGTCAGGATTTGTCCAGAGCTGAGCAAGGACCAGGCACCTCATGGTAAAGGTCTCTTGCATCCTGCAGTTCCCTGCTGGCATCCGATTGTCTAGACAGGCAGCAGGGTGACAAAACCCAGCCACTTAATAAAGAGTGCCCAGCACACTTCAGGAGGGTAATTGCAGCAGTTTGTCCACACAGGAAAGCTAATCCCAACTGATGGAATGAGGGAGCATAAAGTGGGCTCATTAAAAGCCACATGAACTCTGACTATGGACACTCTTATTCACTATTCATATGTCCGTAATTCACTTTATGAATTCATTCCCAAAATAAACTAAACATGAATTATGGCCCTGGAAACCAAAATAAATGTGTTTACACAAAGATTTAATGCAATTTAATGAAACCATTCTAAGAGCTTATTTAAACACATTTCCCCAAGTGCCTCAGACTAGACTAGCCCTTAGAAGAAGCGTTTGCCTATTCATTCATCTCAGTTAAATTTCACAGACATTAGATGAATTTCAGCAAGAGGCTTCCAACCTCTTCTGGAGATTGAATATGCAGGAACTGACTCCTTGAGGGAGGAGGCTGCTTGTCGACAGCCCCAAGAACAGCTTCATGGCCCATTTCTTTTAGTTCAAAAATCTGGCTTCACTGCATTTCTTTTTAGCAACATTATCACATCAAAGATTTCCTCTGCTTTAAAGAAAGTCCCTCAGCTCTGCCTGAAACTCTTGGAAAGCCCTCTGTAGGCGAAGAAAGACAGGTAGCAAGCTGATTAATTGCAAGCATAGGGATAAGCTCAGAAACAGGCAACAAGGAGGAGAAGTCTACCTGGAAAGTGCGTCTCTTTATGACCGGAGGTGGAGCCAGCCGCACTGAATTGAGGAGAGGCAGCAGCTGAAGAAGATCAAACCAGAAGGTCGCAGGGCAAAAGGAGGCCATTAGGGCACCGAGAGTCAGAGAGCAGCCAGGGGAGAGACCAGAGAAGAGGGGAACAGAGAGATTGCCATGAAAACGAAGGCCGGCGGGAGAGCGGCGCGGGGCAGGCACCTGCGGGCAGACCTCCGAGCTGCTCAGGGGCACCCACCAGGGGCCAGCCTGGCACGCGTGGGGTGCCCACTCACCATCCCAGTGCCTCGCTGCACAGAGCTTTCACAGCTCCCTCTGCCCGGAAACACAACTTGGCCAGGGGATTTCTGACTCAGCTCTGCTGATCTCCTTAGGAAGGGCTCACTGCAAGGCATCCCTCTGCCAGGGTGTCCAGCGATGGGATTGCTTCTCTTAACTTCTCATCATCATCAGATTTGGGGCAACTATCAGAATTACAATTTTCTCCAAGTTTTCCAAGTGCAGTTTTCTAGCTCTTCTTACAGGAAACCCACTGTATCTCCAGGTTTCACTCTTCCTCCAGGTGTGGAAGGGAGGGAGAAAGGCTAGCTGGGGTCAGCACAGAGGTCCTGGCCTGCATCATTTAACTTGGCAGACATAACCACCACGGCCAAGGGACAAGATCAGGCCTTGGAGCTGGACACCTAAGCAGGGCATTGCCTTGGCAGCCTGAGCTTTGTTTTTCCTTGCTCAACAGTATCATCACCTTCTGACTGCTTATAGCCAGGAATGCTGCCTTAGGGCACAAAGCTGACCCGGACACACAGAAATCAAATGCACTAAAGCTCAGCAGCATTTGTTCATCCTTTTGCTGTATCCAGTTTCCACTTGCACGCACGCTGCTGTCATGCTGGCACCCACCATGTCGGCTCCAGGCCCAGGAATGCTGCTCTGGCCTGATCCACTTTCCTGTTCCTATCAGTTTTCCATTGAAGCTGCTCTTGATTTACATAGGGAGAGATGAAGAGCCTTTCTATGCTTGGGCATAAAAAGGTGCCCATGTGTGGCATTTCCCCACGTGAGCTGCGCACTCAGATCCCAGAGGTGTGCCCACAGGTGTCCCACCACAGAAACCATACACTTCCAAGGAGCACATCTTATTCTCTTTAAACATTGTACTTCATGTGTGCAGTGAAAGCAAGGATCCAGTTCTGTTGCAAAGAGAAGTAGTAACCCAATTTTGCAGCATCATGATCAGATGGTTGTGTTCAAATGCACTGATCCAGACAGCCACAAGCTATCACTCCAAAAGCAGTGCTGCTGGAAATTCAGCTGGGCTGATTTTACCCAAAGGCAAACCTCCCCTTTCTAAAAGACAGTGCAGCTAAGCTGGCTTTGCCTGGCTGCTTAAGTGCTGAAGGGCATCTGAAATATCACACAGCTTACAGGGAAGCTGAGGGAGGATGCTGGAAAGGATAAGGAGGAAAATGGAGAGAACCAGTCCTGAAAACAGGCAAAACAAGACCCTGCAATGGATTCAGGTGAGAAGAAATCTGAAGGCACTTCCACCCAGCTCCTGCCCTGCCTCCTCTGTGTTCCAATGGGAAGTTTTTTCAGAAGGCAGCGTGCAATATTGGATGTGCACCCTCGAGCCTTTGCATCAGAACTGGGTCCCCTCAGAGCGCTACCCACAAACCTTCAGCGTAAGGATCTGGTTAGAGCGCAGGGCTGCAAGTGTGGTACTTAGGTACTCCTGGGGAACAGGGAACACACAAACAGGGTCAGTGAGACAAACAGCATTTCTGACAGCCAACACAGCAGGGCTGGTCCCCCTGTTTCCCTGAGTGGCACTTGGCAGCAGCTTAAAGGGCCCTCTCACCCTGCATTGGCAGCACCAATGCATGGGCTCATCCCTCACAGCAGTGCAGGCCACACAGACTCATACAGACAAAAAATAGGAAACTACAAGAGCCAAGGCACATATCCTAACCTTGTATTTCCTTCCTAAGAAAACAAATATGAAACAAAACTGAAACAACATCCCCGGTTTGTCAGGATGCTGATTTTCATTTCCTCACCCAGAACATCTGACAAAGAGCCTTATCAAACAGAAAAGCAAGAATAAATTGCAATTCGGTCAGCAGTGTCACATTTTTGCAACAAGACTCATCCTAATTTTCATTCAGGGAAGAAAGAGAACTGCACCTCTGCTGGCTGGTCTGTGCCTCTGGCTCCCTGAACTTGCAGTTCAGGACAGCCTGTCCTTGAGTTGATCTGAGGACAGTCACCCTTGCCACGAGCGTGTCTCAGCCGTGAACAACTCATGGGCTTTTTATAATGCTGAGCCTGGTGCCTCATGAGACCAAAAGTATCTCCATGAGAGGCAAGAAAACGCTGCCAGGATGTGAGGCTTTGCCCCCACCCTTTTCCTGCTGTCACAGCCCTGCAGCTCACCAGCCACCCTACAACCCTGACCCACCAAACCAGTGTGCCTCTGCCCCCAGGCCCGAGCCCAGGCTATTCCCAGGGATGCACCAGTTCCCTTCCCAGTGCCGTTTTGGGTCCTGCCACTGCTTTTCACCTTGAGCACTGGGGACAGTCAGAGCCAAGGGCTGTAACAGGAACTCAGGACACTGCTCGGGTGACCAGTGTTGTTGGCTTCTTTTTAACATAACAATCTAGTGAGCCGGCTCACTAAATAAACACAGCTGAGCGGCTGTTATTGCACGGGGACTGGCACTTCCCCACAGCCCCCTTCTCCCCTGCTGCCAGCCCAGCTCACTCTCCAGCGGCTCTGCTGCTCCAACCCTGCTCCCTCCGGGCCAGGGACCAGAGCCCAGCTGATTATCCAGAGGCCCATCAAAAATAAACAGAAAGCTCTTAAGCTTGTCTCCCTGTACACCCAGATTACAAATTCCAGCCACTTCATATGATGTTGTTCCAATGCATTTCCAGTGGATTTTCAGCACTCTGGTTGTTTTTAGAACTGGTTAAATCCCCTCCAAACCCCATGATGTTCTCTCTCCACTCTTGGCTGCAGCACATGCTGGCCAGGCCAAGACGAAGGGGCAGGTGGGGCAATATCCTGGCTTTCATTAAACAGTTGCTGGCATCAACCCTCCTGCTCAGTCTCTTCCTTGCAGGGAGAAAGTCCACCAGGCTTGGGGACCAACTCAGTGGGGACCTGACAGAGCACCATGGCCAGGCAGTGCAGGGTTACCCTCAGGCAGGTTACCCTCATAACCCTTCCCCTTGTCTCTGTGCAGGGATGACACCAGCATGAGGGAGAAGAAAGAGGGAGGAATGATGATTTTCCCCAGGTCTTCAAACCCCGCACTGCTCCAGGCCACACAACCAGAGCAGAGGCTGTGCAAGCACCACGGAGCCAGTGCAGCAGCTCAAGGCATGAGTGGGTGACCCCTACTCCTCCAGAACCCCCAGGTTTCACTGGGTTTTGGGCTGAGGATGTGGACCTTCCCCTCTCCAGCACAAAGCACAGCAGGGTCTCCAGGAAGCAGAATTGACTGCAGCTATCTAGGGGTCAGCTCTGGTGGGCAGGAACAGACAGACCGGAGAACCAACATCCCTCCTGGAAAACCTTATCTGCTGCTTTTCTGCGAAACACATCAATCAGCCAAGCACTGCCCCGGGGGCCCAGATGACGCATCTTGTTAATGGAACGATCTCTACCTCCAACAAAAAGCCATTCAAACGAAGGAGGATTAACATGCAGGAAGGCACGGGACAGAGGATAATAACGCTAATGACTTACCCTGTGCGGGTACTCTGCGCACTGACCCTGTGGAAGAAGGGGATTAAAAAGGAAAGAGTTTAAACCACAAACAGAGGCGACCAAAATAGGCACGCAGGGTCAGCCCCAGAAGGTGTAAATCATTGTGACTCTATCAAACTCAGTGCAGCGATGCCAATTTGCACCCGACAAGCATCCTGCCTCCTGTCCCCATCCCCTGAGCCCTCTGCTCTTGGTATTCCTCACAGTCAGATCAAGCAGCACCAAGTCCACCAAGTCCCTTCCTCTCTTTTAACAAGGCCCCCATTGAAATTACCTTCTCTCCTTTTTGTCCTGGGGGTCCCTGCAAGAGAAAAGTGATCCAAAAAGGCCTCAGTAAATGAAGGAGTTCAGTGAATGCAAGGGGAAAGGGATTAGGGGAGAGATAGGATAGGGATGGGATACTTACAGGTTGTCCCCTGGGACCTGCAGCACCCTTTAAAGAAACACAGAATTTAACACGGGATGGCTTTCCATTTACAGTGACAAAAAGACAGGGTATGGAGCAGGTGAAAAACGGAGCTTTTAAAAACAATTGTGAAGAAAATTCCCAAGAGAAATCCGGGTTCCCTTTGTTACTCTGGAGGAGTGAAAAATGCACACATGCTCTGGCTGCACCACGGGGGTGGGGGGGAATATTAAAAGGAGAGGGGAAAAAAATCATGAGGAAAACACACCCTTATTGTTCCCAGGACCTCAGCTGACAGCGCGTCTCCTCGGCCACGCTCTGGGACGGAACCAGAGGCAGCCAGGACTGAAGCCTGAGCTGGGATTGTGCAACAGGGGAGTGGGGAGGGGGACCTTCAACATGTGCTTGCCAGAGGCCTATGCTGACACTCAGGCTCAAAAAACAGAATTACAGAATTAGCAGAAGAAAACATTCAACACTTTAGTGAGTGAAGGTGACTACAGAGCCTCTCTCTTGACAGACTCATATTTGGGATTTCATCATCAGAGATGTCAAGAGGAACAAGACAGCATTTGGGCTTTCATAAAGTGCAGTCTAACTTTATCATTTTCAACCAAAAGCATTTTAGTATGATGCACATATGAAACAGAGCTTCAAGAGGGTGGGGGGGCGGGTGGGAACCACATTTATTACAAAAAATGTGCTTTTTTTGGTTGTTGTTAGGTAAGTTGAAAGCCGCCAGATGGGTTTTCAGAAATCTTTCCATCAACTTTTACTTGTCCTATGAGGCCAACCACGAAAAATGTCAGCTCCCAGAATATATTTAAAGAACATAATTGCTAAGTGCAAGGAAAACACATCCCATGTGTAACTAGAGACTTGCTGCTGTGACATGAAGAATGTGCTAGCCATAATGCAAAAATTACAGACATGCATCCCAGCACTGCTATTATGAAGTTACAGAATTAGGGATGCAGCTAAGTGCATCAGCTGAGGTAAGACTGCTGCCCTGCCCCTGAGCTTGTTTCCAGCTGAGGCACAACATAATTGCAAACCAACCCATAACCCGCAGACAAACATATGGATTTTTACCATCTCGCCCTTCTGTCCAGGATGCCCCTGCAAAAGAAAGGAAATACACATCAGCTTTGGCCACTGCAGACTCTAGATGATGTTGACTTAACAGCTTCTGCTGAGTGAAGTGTGTGTCCCCAGAGCAGTGCAAGAAAGGTGCTGCCACATCTCTCTTGGGGTGAAGTTCTTCACGGCAAGCAGGAAATCAGAAGCCAGAGCTATGTGCTACCAGCTCCTTCTCCACTGCAGCACTGGAGCAGTGTGCTGGGGAACCTGGCTACATGGCTGCTACGTGGAGCTATGGGTTTCATGCCCACTGGGTTCATGGAGAAGTAGCTCGTTTATGCCCAGCTCTGAAGGATAAGAAGAACTTGGTTTTCTACTGCAAATCTCTAAGGACAGCATGGAGGTCTCACAGAGTCTTTAGGATCCTTCCTTCCTCTACTGCAGGTCTTTTTGGCATGGCAGCAAAGAGCAGGAAGCTGTTGGCTAAGGCAGAGGGCTGATACCTCGGGGATCTGCTCTGCCTGTCTGATTCTGGGTGGGAGTGCCTGCTGAGGCTTTCCCTGCAGCAGCCAGGCTGCTGCACTTGTGAACTGCTATTTTACAGATTTACCTAGAAAGGAACAGGCCATACTCTGCCTTTCTTAACCTCCTGACTCCTGCATCTCCCCCAAGGCATCTGTGGCATCCTCCTGGCCTGCCAACCTCCTAATTTTCTTTTAATCCATGCAAGTGCATGACATTGCAAAACAATCCCCCTAAAACAGAGGGTGTGACACACAGGCTGCAGCCCAGTGGGGCCCAGCAGGAGGCAGGGCAGAAACCTGCAGAGGAGTTCTTCGCTTACCGGTTTGCCGTCCAAGCCAATAGGGCCCTGAAATACAAGAGGAAAAATGATGAGAAATGCTTTCCCCATGGAGTCTGTCCATCTTGTCCATCTGCCCCAGGAAGCACTATGTGCCACAAGACTGCAGGGCTGGGGTGACGTGAGGTGACTCCCTGCCCTCCTGTCCAGTCCTGGCAGTCCCTGGTCCACTGAGTACCAGCCCAGATTTCAAACTGCTTCAGCAGGGACCTGCTCACTGTCAGCACATTTCAGCAGCAATGCTGGACACAGGAACAGAAGCAAGGAAGGACTCATAGGCAATTTGCAAAAAAAAAATCTCAGAATTTAAAATTTTACGGTGTTCAGTAAACTAGTTGAATATCAGTAGTTTTCTCAAGACTTTGATTTAAAAGGGCACCCACCTTTGGGGGAAGGGTTTTTTGCAAACGACAGAATAATAAAAGTGTCTCGGGGAAGAGGTGACATACAGCTCAGCACACGCTGAAGGTACTGTTTGATGAGAAACAGGCTCCACAGTGCTGTCCCACCCAGCACTTTCTCATGAGCTGGGCCGATTTGTTTTCTGCTCCTCCAAAAGCCAAAGACCACAAGGGCCTGGAGAGATCTGCTTCTCCTCAGCCCAGGGGCAGCTCACAGCCCCCCTGTCACAACGGGCAGAGCCGTGGAGCCCGGGCAGACAGGGGGAGGCTGCCAATTCCTCCCATTTTCCAGGCGTGAGAGTCCCCCTGCAGACCTGCTCTGGCACGTCCAGTGTCCTGGAGCAGCAGCTGAGCTGCCCGGCAGGAGCAGGGATGTGGGGGGTGTCTGTGTTTGCCTCAGGCTTCCTAGCTGTCCAGGATAAATGCATATGGATAAATAGCATCTGTTGGAGCTCTTCAGCAGCCTCAGCACTTCACAGAGTGCTGCCAGCAACTGTAGGATTGAAATGAAATTTGCTTTGTCCTCTGCTGGGCATTATCTCTGTTCCCTTGAAACTGTGCTGAAGAAGAATTCCCCCTCATGTCCTTTTCCTTTGGCATGACCAGGGTGTTCAGCCTAGCACAGTCCCCAGCTGACCCTCAACAAGCAGGGCCTTTTTTGGAGCCCAGGCACTTGCTGCTATTGGAATATCATCTAAAAGCTCAATTAAAGTTGGAATTTCCCCTACCCAGGGGTTGTTTTCTTTGTTTGGGATAGGGGTATTTCTTAGGATGATTTTCTTTTACTGAACAGATCTGGCTTTAACTATGTTATTTTAACACTTGGGGATTTTTTAAAATTAATTTCCTTTCAGAGTTGTGTGGTTTGGTTTGGTAGGGGTGTTTTTTCTCCCTAAGTATCGTTTAAAAGAAGAAAAAAAAAAGTAGCAGAAAAACAAATGAAGAAAAAATAGCTTTTTCCAGTGATATCAGATCAGGTCATTGGTTTCAGGAAGAAATGATGAGATACAGCAAGCACTTATGAGGCCTCCTCGTAGTATCACACATCCGTACCTCATAAATTAAGAGTTACACTTACCGGGAATCCAGGAAAACCTCTAGTTCCAGGCTGTCCCTGGGAAGGATGAAACAGAGACAGCATTTTAGAGGAACTGAAATGAATTTTGACAGAACCTAAGTCCTCTCTACAGAGCCTTTCCTCCAGCTTCTGACCAGTTATCCTACAACTCTCTGAAGAGATACCCAATTCCCCTCCAAGGGGAAAGTGTCTTGGGAAGGAGGGGAAATCTCTCATCCCCTCTCCAATTTGTACAGGGCCAAGAAAATGCTGGAGCAGCTCCAGTTTGGATTGCAGGCAGTTTCCTTGAAGTTGCTACACTAATTAGATGGGTGTCCCTAGCCCATATGTTAGGCTTTTGGAGTATATTCCAGAGGCTGAGCTCATTTTATGGCAGTTCTTGCTGCCATAAACCTGAGATGTTTAATGCAGGGTGCTGTTCTGTGCAAGACAAGCCTTGCAGGTCACTGGTGTCTAAATACAACCATCCCTCTCCTCCTCCACTCCTCATCTTATATCCCAGCTCATTCATTTTCCTCAGAAATAATTCTGGAGATGATTTTTTTCCTCTTCTGTTTTTTTTTGATAGTTTTTTTTGGTTTTTTGTTTGGTTTTTTTTTTTTTTCAAAGAAATAATTCTGGAGACGATTTTTTTCCTCTTCTGTTTTTTTTTTTGATGGTTTTTTTTGGTTTTTTGTTTGGTTTGTTTTTTTTTTTAATTTTTATTTTTATCCTCTGAGAGCTAAGACAAAAAGGAAAGTTAGGCTGTGTGATGACAGGAACATGAGCACCACCACTTTTCCCCCTGCCCTTCCTGGCTAGCTAGCTATGGCTACCAGTTTGGGATCAGGGACAGCAAACACTGGCTTGGGATGTGTTTGGCAGCTTCTTCATGCCCTACTTAAGAACACCAAAAAAGGAGAAAATGTCCTTGCTGTTAATTTTTCGTAGTTCTTCAGTTTTTGGGGCATGTGACTTCACATGTCACAGTTACCATAGCTTTGTTGGTATCCAGGAAAGATACCAATTCACTTAAGGATTTTTCAATCTGTTTTCCAAAAAAAAAGGTCAGGAAGCATATGGTCCATCTGGCCCAGACTTCAGCAGATCTTGAAGCACTCTCATGTGGACAGAAACAGCCGGATGAGGCAAATCCTGTGCCACGCTCATCAGCTGACCACTGTGGCATCCTGCCTACCCTGAAAGCTGGGCTATGATGCCAAAATGCCCAGCTTCCTTATGTGTTCTCTCATTTGGGGGAAAAAAAATGCTTTCTTCAGCAATTTGAGCTACCATGACTGGACTGCTGGAGCCCCACAGGGGTTTCCTAGGGTAGAGCTAGGCATAAACAGGGTGCATCTCTGCCTTAATTAGAGTGATCCCATGTGGTGCTGAGGGAAGGGAAGAGGAAGGAGGAGATGGGGCTCCTGGGCTGTGAGGCTGAGGTTTGCCACAGTGCAGCAATAAACAATCCTTTGGGAAACCTCAGAGTTGCACTGATAGGGAAAACCTTCACCTTCAGGTAACATCTCCAGCCACCCTCTGCCTGCAGAGAGACTCAGTGAGGGTTTACCCCTGCAGAGGATTGCCCCAAACAGCCTCTTTGCAGGCTTTGAGGGATGCCCCCACCACAAAATCCCTCACACTGCACTGAAGAGTTCTGGTTTTCGACACAATGCTAGCAGGACCTAATCACATTTGCACTATTTCTTTAGTTCTGCAAAGCTGAACTTGGTCAGCTTTGCTTTGCAAGATACACACAAAACCACCTGGCCCTGTTGGCCAGTGACCAGGAGGGAAGATAGGCTATAAATTAAAGGATCTGTCCACCGCTGGCTTCTGAAAAGGCAAGAAGCAAGAAGAGCCTAGCCAGAATTCTGGTTCCCTCTTGGACACCTCCCTGACAAAAAGTGCTAAAAAAAGAATTAGGGAGAAAACCTGGAAATGGTGCAATTTGGCTTCCTCTGTAGACTACAGACTGCTGCTTCTTTCTCCTTGGAGGACAGCAGAATGATTTGCACGGTATCACGCCAAGACAACAGTTCAGCAGCGAGCGATTCCAAGAGACTGTTTTTGTTGGGTGGCTGGTTTTCCTTGTCTCCTTTTTAAAATGTTGATTGTATGAAGTATGTAATCCCAGGAGCTGCCAAATCATGGAGACCGTCTGTTTCTGCCACTATCGGCGCACTGTCCCTCTCTGGCCAGGAGCTAAGCAGCTCTAAGCTCAGGCAAAAACTTTAACCTCCAAACAAAAATCTGGAAACTATTTGTCATCCCACATCTTTCCGAGTGGCCCCTTGGCCAGGGTTTCCGTGCTTGTCTTCAGTGCTCAGCCATCCCTTTGACCTATCACCAGCTCCCCAGGAAACTGGATCATCTTCACAGTAGACTTTGCAGGGGGAAAGTGTGGATTTGGGCTGGTCTTGGCACCTCAGGGCTTTGTTTGGTGTAGGCAAAACCCTATTTTAGGTACTATTTGCCATCTAATTTTTCTGCTGCTTTAAAGATGCAACGCGTTCTGCACTTTTCCAAACAGCAGCCAAGGCAGCAGCACCAAAGCAGACAAAATTGTCCTGCAGCCCAGGCACTGTGTTCTTCAAGAAAACTGTCTCCTTTGCAGGACCTTCATGGACAGGACCTGGTGGCTTTTCTCTCTGATTACTATAATTACTCTGTTCAGAAGGCTGAGAGCCAGAGCTTATGAGAAACAGCAAAAGCAACGGGGCACTTACCCCCCCAAAATCTGCTGTTTGTGGAGCAGGGTGGTCTTGTTCAGACCTTGGCTTGAGAGACTTGCCAGTCCCTCTTTCTTGCCTGGACACGTGGCCAAGGACCATCTGCTAGGCATAAAACACTTGGGGAGACCCATTTGGGTCCTGGGCTTTGGTTCTGCCACTTCTCAAACTCCAGCATCCCCGGCAGGTGGGCCTGGGGACCAGCAAAGCTGGTTTTTATTAGAAACACTTGTCATGAGGCTTTTGGGAAGTTAATTGGAAAGCCAGATGTAGCCAAGTGTTCACACTGCCTGGGTCTCTGTCACTTGACCTCGGCTGTGAAACAAAGGCTGCCAGCAGCCCATCCTCTCTGCAGGTCAAGGACGGTGCTCTTCACAGGTTAATCAAAATCGGAAGTGCCCACTGGGAGGGAGAGAATTGAATCTCCAGGTCTTTTTTCATGGAAATCTCTGGTGGAGGCTGTGCAGGGATGGAGCCTCTGCACAAAAGCAGAGGCTTGATGGCTGAGCCACAGTGCAAGAAGCATCCAGCATTTAGGGCACGTAAACACTCCAACCCCTCATCTTGGCTGACCCGTTGCACCTTGTAGAGACACTTTCACTGGAAGAGGGTGCAAAATCCTGCCTTTTCTCAGCCAGAGAAGCTGTAACCATGCTAACAAAGAGCTTCCAAGATTTTGGGTACGTGACAAAGACCTCTGAACTACCCTTTGTCTTTGTGAGCTCCCCAGTCACTGGCTCAGCTCTGATCCTGCTCATCAGTAAAATCAGGGGGCTTATTCCCTGCTGATTTAACCAAAGGCTGAAATTAGCAGGCAAAGGGAAAATTTTCTCCAGAAGTGATAGCAGTCCCGTTGCACAAAGGAAATACGCTTCTTCCTTTTAAATGCAGGGCTTTGGTTTCCTTGCCAAGGGAAGGCTTCCTCATTTGTTCTGGAATATGAGCTATAATTTCATTATATATAGTATATAATAGCAGTACAAAACCAAGGCTGGTTCAGCATGGGAACCACATTATACAGGGTTTTTGCTCTTTCCAGCTGATGCTGAGTCTTAATGCCCCTCCTAAGCCTTTCCTTGCCCACATCCTGCATCAGACAAAAATAGAGAGAAAAGCCACTTACGGGTGGACCACGGGGCCCAATGATGGACATGCCAGCTTCTCCTGGAGCACCCTGCAGAGAGACAAAGCAGAGGAAAAGGAGTGAGAACAGGAGAGGAAAACACAATGACAACTATATTCCTGTCAAGACTGAGGGTAAATGAGGGTGCCTTAGGTGTGAGATCTTCAGGGCTTATGGGGCAGCTGCTGTTCTGGTCTCCCCCAGCTCCTGCCTGACACTTTGGGAAAAAAGAGGTCCTTGAGAACTGCTCAGATGTGCCAGAAAATGGAAGCTGCTCAGCAAGGGGAAGTATAAACACATAAAACACTTTCTGGCAAAACAGATGTTCTGCCCCATTGCAAGTGTGAAAGATGGCCTGAAACCTTTTCGGTTTCCTTCCTGCGAGTTCCAGGAGGGTTGTGTCCTGCAGAAGAAAAAAAAAGAGAGATGTGCTGGGCTCCAGGGAAATGGGAGCTGCAGGCAGCTATTTGGTTGCCTCCAGGAATGTCTCACTTGCATACTTCTCAAACTCAGTTGAGATGTGGATGAAAACAAAGCAAAGTGCTTGCTGGAAAAGGAAACAGCTGCCTCTCCAACTCCTAGCCACCCACAGTGTGTGATGGGCAGGACATGTCACTCTCTTTGGAAACATGATGTATTCCTGAGAGGCAGCTCCAGAAGTGCCCAGGGCTGAGGAGCTTCGGGACAGAGCATCCCATAAACCAAGCAGCCTGCAAGAAAGGAAAGCACTCTGAAAAACAAAGCTGTGGACTGCCAAAGACTTAGGGCTCTCTCAGGGAGGCCTTTGGGGCAGCAGGGGCAATTAGAAGTGATTTTTTTCTGTTTTTGTCTGTATCTATCTGCTGTCCCTTCATGAAAACTTTGGCCAGAAACAAATGCAAGGATATGCAGAGAAAAAAGCAGAATGGCTTTGGGTGCGAAATTCTGGTTTGTTGGATGTTGGTTGGCTGCAATGAGCAAACAGTGAACACAAGGATGAAGAATCTCTATCCTACTTCCCCCTTCCTTGTTCTTTTCTCCCTATTATGAAGAGAAGCAAACGGGTCTGGTATGGTACTGCACAGATGACCTTCCTTGTCAGGTAAGTATCCATACCTTTCTTAATTTCTACACATTCCATTATTCACGAATCCCAAACACCTCAATTTCCCTGCTCTCCCAGGTGGGAGGTACAGCTCTGGGGAAAATATACTAACACTGAAAAGCCAAACACTTCAAAATGGGCCAGCAGTAGGATCGCTTTGTAAACCAGCACTCCTTTGTGGGTACAAAGCTCAACTCACTGCACAGCAAACAGTCTGGGAGATGGTGTCCCACAGACCATCAGCTTTCCTCAGGAGGAAGAGGTCCCACCATGTCAGAAATAGGAGCATGCCATGCCACTTTTACTCCTTGCTCCCACCTGCACCAGGGATCAGGCTAACCTGGGAGGTAGAGGGGAGCTGCAGGTTGGTTGGGACAAGCAGAGCTGCCAGACGGGGAGAAAGTCAATGGTTAAAATCCAGGAAGCCTTGAAGGAAGCCCTGCATGTGCCCACTAGCTCTTACACTGTTAGTAAATCGTCATAAACAAGAAACACAGCATCTTTGGAGGCTGACTGGCCTGGAAGGAATTTGGGAAATATACTTGCACTGACACGGAAGATGGGGAAGCCCAGGGCACTGGGAATATTTCTCTGCCTGCTCCAGGGTACACTGACACCCAGGGGAGCACCGACTTTGACCCTCATTCATGGAGAAAAAGTTTCCTAGACTTCAAGATAGACTAGAATCCACAGAGGTGTGAAATAGATTCTAGAGAGTAGTGTAGGTGTATCACTTGGTGAGAAATTTAGGTTTCGGGATTTTTAGGATGTTGTGGGTGGAAGCAAGATGGAGGGAAGCCCAAAGCTGGCGGCAGTGGCCATGACTGTGACAGGGAAGCTTGGGCTGGCCCTAGAAGAGGACAGTTTGGGGGTGCTACAGGCTACAGGGAGCTGACTCACCTTCTCTCCGGATTGCCCTTTTAGTCCCTGGGTCAGTGGCAGCCGTCACAGCCACATGCAAGAGGGTGCAGGGAAGAGAGAGAGAAAGGAGAGAGAGACAAACACAGGCGTCAGCGGCAAAGGCACGCTCTCCCGCCCCACAACCCTGGCTATGGGGCTGGCGTGAGCAGGGTGGCCTCAGCTCCTGCCCCAGTCCTCATCCCCATCCTCACCATGGGATGCCCGAGCAAGGAGCAGCTCCAAAATACAGCACTCAGCCAGGCAGGGGATGGCCCCCTTTGCACAGGGCAGAGTTATTTGGAAGGGGCAGCTGCCAGTGGCAAGCAGGGGTGCGTGTTAGGAAACCCAGGGTTAGCAAGCCCAGCTGGCGCATGAGGTGGCAACGGGAGACACCCAAACAGGGGGATGCTGAACCAGAGAAGGGCCTGGATAGTACAGCAGGTGAAATGGAAACACCTCCCCAGCATGTATGTGGCTTGCAGGGCTGGTCACCCTGCTGAGACCAGGGGAGCCCCTCAGATGTGAGGCTCAGGGAGAGTAGTTTTGCTCAAAATGACAAGGATTATCCTGAAAGCTACCCTCCCCCACCCCCAAAATCCTGGGGGTTGGAAGAGAATGGGAATGATAAGGCACACAAAAGAGGGTTTGACTTACCGGCCGCCCAGGGATTCCCATCGCACCTTTGTCCCCCTGGCAATAAGGCAAAAATCAGAGGGAATTGGTAACTGGCCAAAAGCAAGGTTACAAAACAGCACAACTGAACTAAGCCACAGCAGCAGCTTCACACTGTGGTGCAAGTGTCCAGGGATTTTGAGAGGGAGAAAGTTAAAGAGTAAAATGTGTTTGCATGTGCCCAAATCTAATGTGTGAGCCACCAGTTCATTTTCACATATGACAAACCCACACATCTCACAACAGAAATTACGTACAGCAATTTAGGCAGCACAAGGAGGACAGGAGTCTCCAGTCAAACAAAGTACTATCCCTATTTCCAACACTTCATAAAATCCAGGTCCTGGGAACTGGCTTCCTGCAGTGGCCAACTGTCACATTTTTCTCTTTCTTGACCAAAGTCATCTGGGTGTTAGCTATTTATTTATAGAGTTATCACTTTAAAACACAATTCTTTTAGACTTAAAAATACTGTCCTGTCCAGAAGTAAGAGAAAAATGTGAGAACACAAGCTGACACAGGAAAAAGCATGTCTGGAAGAAGACATATGAGCAGCTGTTTTCAGTGTCCTCTACCCCTCTGAGATACTTCCCAGTGCATTGTCAGCATGTGAGTGATCCTAACAGTGGTTTTGGGAATGACTTTGGGTCAGGTGACACTGGACAGAGCCTCGTAAACACATGAACATTGGACCAGCAACAGTTTTCTTCACCCACTTACCTACAAGGCAGTTGGCTGCCTCTTACAGCTAAACTGTACTATGCAATTACCAAAAAAAAGGAAAAAATTACCCCCTCTGCATTCTTGATCACCAAAACTGAAGGCTGTGCAGATCTGGAAGACAGCAGCTCATTGCTAAAGGATCTTGATGATTATGCAGTCATGTAGCTTTTGCTCTCTATTTTGCAAAAATGACATGATAATAATCCCTCAGTTCTGTTTCCAGCGATGTTTGGGGTTTCCTTATGTAAAACAGAATGTTCCTGCCCCTGGCTGACTGCAGACATAAACCTGGTTTTCTGGTTTCTGCAGCTGGACACACCAGCCCCATTGGTGCCACCTCTTTATGCCTCCCCACATGTTCAGTCCTAGCGCGTGTGAACATAATCTGAAATCTCTGGAAGGGGAAGGCACTTAGCTCTGTTTGTTCTTCTGGGTGTACACAACAGCTGTGTATCCCAAACTCAAACCTTGTTGCTTGGGATCAAACCATTCGCTGGTGGAAGCTCAGCCACTTCCCTCTGCAGAGCTGGGGGGGCTGTTTGGTATGGGGGGCATTCCTTTCCAATGCAGCATATGTTGTGATAAACTGAAGAGCCATGTACACTTTGCAAAAGCACCCCTTTCAGACGGATGAAACCCTGAACAGCTGCTCGATTTTAAGTTCTGTTGAGGATATATTATGGGAAACTGCTTTCTTCTAGGGTTCTAGGTGGGTTCTCAGTCCTGCTAATATTTGTCTGTCTCTTTGTGCCAGCAGTGAGCGGAGCTCCTGGTGTTGGCATCTGGCCCTGGGATTACTTTGTGGCTGCTGGAAAACATAATACTGATCTTTCCTCTGCTTTTAGTCCCTTAAATGCTGCTTTCCTCCAGAGCTGAGCCCAGGCTGATTTCCCTCGTGGTTTTTGAGGTAAAAGCTGAATTTGCTTCTTCTGTCTCTGCTGTGGCTGGTGCCCGAGCAGGAAGAGCCCAAGGTCGGGGCTGAGCTGTGTCAGGTCCCCCGTGAGTACCTGGAGTGGTACATGACGGCACCGTGTCTGGAATGTGACTGTGCAGAGTTACAGCAGAGGGGGAGCTCCCAGTAGGACAGCAAATAAATGCCAGATGTTTATAAGGAAAGGTTGCCTGTGACAGGGAGCCAGGAAAGAGCACTTGTGGGTGGATGATACTGTGTAGGTTGGTTATAAAGTCATGAAAAGCTGCCTGAAGCTCCCACATCAGCGTTAAAAGAGCATGAAAGGCAACCAGGAGTCCCTGTCCTGAGCCAGGGGAGAGCCAGCAGCACAGTTTGCATTTCCTTCACTGAGAAACTGCCTGTTATGGCTCTTGCAGTCTCCAGGTGAGCCACAGCCTGGGGAGCAGGGAACCATCACCAGGAAATCACGCTGCTGTAATTCCAAAACCCACGCTCCTTCCTCAGTCATGACTAACTCAGATGCAGATACTGTTATTATGGATTTTTGCATTTGTCCCAAGGTGACTTATGCCTTCTAAATCCTGCTGCAACTAGCCAATCCCATCAGTGAGAACACTGAACACTTTGCCTCTTCAACTGAACCCTCAAAGACATCTTCAAAACTAGTGTTTCCTACACATAGGAGGGTTCATGAGGATCATGCTACCCTTTAAGTTTGGACCTACAAAGCTCCTGTGGTCCCTGCTCTATATGGGCCATGTCCTGTTTGCAATATTCTATTCCATGTCCCATTTTTTATGCAAGTCTACTTTCTACCACCTTATGAATGCTGGGGGCCTCCTGATCCAAGTACTGTCAGACAGAAAGAATGAGGGGATGAAACAGAAATAATGAAGTATTTACCAGGAGCTGTGGCCTTTCTGTGAGGCCCTGGAAAAAAATACACTGAAACAGCAAAAGCCAGCCTCAAACTCCGAAAGGAGGGCTTGACAAAGACATGGAATCATGTGGAAGGGTTTAGGAAACAGAATGGTTAAAAAAGCTCTCCACAGCTCCTTGACCATCAGCTCTGATTGCTTTGGTTTCCTAATCTCCTGCTTGTGAAGTTCTCTCTCCTTTTGGCACGACTCTACCCACAGCTCTCCGCACGAGCTCTGAAGGTATCTGCAAGTCCACGGAGAACAAGCTAATTACAGGGCTTTGACTTTCTTCCTTAGTTTCCATCTGCTAAATATTATTTTTTCATGTATGGAATTGCTGCAGTTGCCACAGAAATGTTGCATGATCAGAAATGGGAGAGAAAATGTCCGTGAGAGGATCATTTGCTTCGGATGTGGTCCAGACAGCAAAAGGACTATTGCACGATTTCATCACTTCCTTCCTTCCTTCACCCCTTTTAGTCCCAATCTCATCAAATATCTTACATGACTGCGGGTTGCCCCTGTCTTCACCAAAGCCTTCACTGACTTCAGGAATAAGGGTGGAAGTGTTCGTGGGCAAGAGAAGAACATGAAGTTCCCTTCTGCTGCTCTGGCATTGCTCATCCATTTCCCTGGATTTTGTCCTTGTTGTCCTAGACTGCAAGCAGGGCTCAGTGCATTTCTAATAGTATTTCTGCCCATCTCCACACTCAAGCCAACACCTGCACTGTCACACAGTGTGTTGCCTCTTTTGCAAGCTGGGAAACAAAAACGGGAGAGAGATGTGAGGTGGTCATTGCTTTGGGGTCACTGTCCAGAGCAATGTGTACGACAATCAGCCAGGAAGGAGCTCAGGCTGTTGCTCAGAAAACCATTTCCATTTCAATCGTGAGAAATACACAGGGGTGGGGGAATGCTTCCTATGGTGATGTGTAGAACTCACTTGGCTTTTCAGAGGTGAACTTTTGCTCACAGCGACTGAGTCGATCTCGCTCACCAGCTGATCAGAAACCCAAAGGGTCCTGAATGAGATGAGGGTCCCACTAGTCCAAGACAAATTCCACTTTGGCTAAGAACACTCAGTCTGCCCAACTTCCTCTTGTTATTTCCATTGGCTGTAGCATTCCTCACAGCCTGTCCTAGAAGTCTGCTTGCAGAGACAGGTTCAGGGGTCGCAATAAGCCAGGATACAGTAGCATATAATGTCAGCACTTCTCTGGTGGTCCCATATGCTTCTGCCAGGCTTCAATCTCTCATTACAATATTAGGTTTCTAACCCTTATTGCTGCAGAGGAAGTCTGGAGCGTGTGTCTTCCTCACCCCACAAAGGCACTGACTGCTCTCTAGAAGACATCTGTGTTGATCTAGTGATTTCTTTCTAATTTCTCACAGCAATAACAGAAATGCCAACACCACTGCCAATTTTGTGCCCACCTCATCCGCTTAGTGCCAACTGGCTGAAGTGGCAGGGACTGCCATGGAGGGACTCCAGATGGAGCTGCCTGCAGAGGCGTGCTCTCCTCCCAAAAAGCCACAGCTAATGCTGAAACACATCCACTTCAGCGGCCAGTCCTGAAAGCCCCTGGGATAAGCTATCGCTGAAGTTTTGCGTGGATCAGGGCTTCCAGCTGTGAAATGCTTTCAGACCTTTTGGCCTAGAAGGTGCAACTTTTTGGAAGATTGCTGTCATTAAATAGGTCTGTGCTCATATATCTGTGGGAGTTCAGTCTCTAGCATTTCAGCCTGATGAAAGGGGAAAGAAAATAGGTTGTGCAGCAACTACTACTCAGAACGTCATCTGCAAACTGTTTAAGACATTTTTGCGAGAACAGACAAAAGATGACTACCGTATGTTTAACTTCTCATGTTCCTTCACAGAAACCCTGAATAGTCCCTCTATTGTACACGAATATAAACCATTTCCTTTGGAAGGACTGTGCTAGAGACAATGCAGCATTTCTTTACAATCCTGAGAGCTATCGATACATGGCTTCAGTCCTTGCCTTGCTACTTCTGGTTCACTGTGGGTCTGGTAATAGCTGCAAGAAAATTTCTGCAATAACCTAGCTATTTTCCTGAAGCCTAAATTGTCTGTGCTGAGGTTTTACATTAGCTAACATTTGAAAAGGAAGCTGTCAACACAATTTTTCCTCTGAAATTGATAGTTGCACAGCTATACTTGAAGGCCCAGCAGTTCAGCCAGCCTGGGTGAGTAGCGGGGAACAAGTCCCTGCAGCTCAGCCCCTGCCATGTGTTTGTGATCTGTCTTTCCCTTTTCTGCAAACACATCTCGTTCAGCACGTGGCATCCCATGCATGTGAAGCGCACACAGCGGTTCCCCCAGAGGCTGTGGGGCCAGCTGCTAACACACAGATCTCTGCACCACGTGAATCTGCCATGTTCCCGTCCCCGCTGAGCTGCAGCCAGGAGCAATCCCACCCCAATCCAGTCCTGAGCTCCCACAGTACTTGCTGTTTGGGATAGCCCAGGCTGCCAGGACTGCAAAGGTGGCTACCACACCAGACACCACAGACAGGAGGCTGCAAGTTCATGCCCCGCAGACTCCATGTCAACAACCATAGAGGCTTGGTACTTACAGGTGGACCTGGAAGAGAGAAAAAAAATAAACAGTAATTAATTTTTTAATGCAATAAATCCTAACAAGAAGAGCTAGAAAAAAAACATTGCACCATCTTTTGGGCTTAATCCTCATTAAGGCTGCTCCCATTTGCTGATGCACTTTCACCAGCTCCCTGCTTGTTAATTGAGGTATCCCCACAATTAGCAGCTGCTAATAACCATCGTGAGTGCAGGGCAGCCTCTGACAGCCATATCAGAGCCCTGTCTTGGGAAGGCCATGCAAGTCAGGCTCTTGACACTGTCAAACTCAGTTTTGGTCCTCCAGCACTCATGAGAGCGGGAACTTGTTATTTATATGACTCTTCCTCACATCCTGCCCACCCCTGGGGGCTGAGAAAGTTGAAATTGAGGAGGCAAGAGCCCTTTTGCTGCTAAAATTCCTACCCATTTCCCACCAGAATCGGTAATCTTGTGAAGGTGTGAAATGGTTAATGAGCAAACTACTTTTTTTTCTCTTTAATACAAGCAAACTTTCCCTTTTTCTTCTGCCTCTGATCCCATCAAAGCCAGCCTGCCCTCTCGGAAGAAATTCCCTCAAATCCTTTGGGTTTCTTCATTTTGGAAATCTTTTTTGGAACCTGCCAGTGTGGAGCACTGCATCTCCCTCATACAGAATGGTAGTACAATATCAGGGCTTAAACAGCACATTTCTTTCATCAGTTCCCAGAAAATTCCTCAAAATCCTGACAGATATTGTGTGTGCGGAAGAAACCCCTGGACTCACTATTTTGTGGTTTCCTCTCTGTGGGAGAAGCAAGACACACCATACAACTGTCAGGGGTTTCTACATTTTCCATACTTTATAGACATTCTGTTTTCTCTTTTTTTTCTTCACACAGAGTGCCAAGAAGCAAGGCTAAGCAGTATAACAGGCGAGCTGACAGATAACAGGCAGCAACCTCCTCCTTGCACGGGAGGCGGATGTCACGGCGAGCACCTGCGGAACACGTCATCAACCCGAAAATGCCCCTGGCTGAAAGTCCACAAAAGAAACTGGAGACTTTGGATGAACAAACGCTTTCCACACTGGAAATCCCTCACTTAGCATGACTGTCTCATACCAGGTTTGGGGACCTGAAACTGCCCTGTCAAATGCCACCGTTAGACATGGCTTTCATTGTGGTTGATCAGAAGAGGTTACCTCTAGAAAGTAACTTTTGGTTAAAATACAAAGAATAATAACCACCTTCATGATGGCTGGCAGAGCTAAAGTCAACGCTCGCAGCTGGAAGCTCAACAACTCAAAACAACTCCAATCAAATTTAGGACAGGAGCTCAGGGGTGATCCAGATTTGGCAATCACCCACCACCGGTGCTGAGGTCACTGTCCTGCTTGGTACACCAAGTCTAAACAACAAAAGGGCTTCTGATCAGACAGCTCATTTAGGAGGGCAAGGTCAGACTGATGCTGGAATCCTAATTTATGCCAGACTGGGAAAGAAAAAGAAAGGAAAGAAAGGGAAGGGAAGGGAGGAAGGAAGGGAGGAAAGAAAGAGAAAGAAAGAAAGAAAGAAAGAAAGAAAAGAGTTTTCTGAGTCTGGCTTGGATCACAATAAAGTTCTGTGAGAGAAATGTTTTGGAGAGATTTTGTTTCAGACTGAGTGCCCTGACACAAGGTCAATGCTTATAGCTTGCCAATACACGGACTTTATTTCCATTAGCAACGCTTCAGACCCTTAATAACCCACCTACCTGTCTGCATGGACTTGGGGCACTCATGGATTGCATGAACCCAACTGCTGAGCTAAGATTAAAAGAAAAACTTAAGGACATGCAAACCCTGAGCCCTTCCAGCCCAAACACAACCAGCCAGCAGCACAGCCTGTAATGGTACTGCCATACCACTGAGAGCAAACATAAGCTCTTGTTTGCTCCAGAAGCTCCATCCACAGAGTGGAGTAAATCAGCAATGCTAGCAGCTCTGGGCCACACACCCCACACAGATCAAAGGCAGGAGGAACAGTGGAGGCCCATCTCTGCTATGTGCCCCCTATAAAATTAATGGTTATGTGAAGGGGACTGCACAGTCTTGTGTAAACACTCATCAGTGAGCTGCAGGGACACAGTCTTGGCTGCAATAAGTCAGTCAGGAGACACCATCCAGGGACTGGGCTTCAAATGCTGGGATCATCCGTGTGACCCAGGAGAAAGCGAAGCCCTCAGGCAGAGTCACTTCCAAAAGAAACATCATCTTGCATGGGCTGGAGGAGGAGAAGGAGGAGGAGGAGGAGGAAAGATGTCCTAAAGACAGCGGGAAGGGAGGAGGTCCTGCTGGATTAGCTGTTGCAAAGTATAGGGGATTTTAAAAAGCAAAATAAGGCTTCAGCAAAATGGTTTGGTCATATTCTGTCACAGTGATAAATGACAAGGTGGAGCAGAGGTTCTCAAGTGGCTCGGTCCTTAATACAAGTAGTAAATTAATGCACATTACAGGAAAGAGTGGATAGAAGAGGACGGAGATACCTGAGCCTCTATCTCAACAGCTCCAACCACCAGCAGCGCAGCGAGCTTGGCGCTGCCCAAGGCTCTGGCAGAGCTGCTCTGGGGCCCAGTCAGGGACGCTGACAGCCCTGCAAGCCAAGGGAACAAACCCACAAGCTGACCAGGCTGCATGGGACCCTTTACAAAAGCCACCTGAACTGCAACAGAGTCACCAGACCACCACTGCATGTGGTCCCGTGTCGCATGTCTCTTGCAGGCCCAGCCAGTCTGGGGCAGCCATGTGGAAGCAGGCCTGCTTGCCCCCTCCATGTGCCAAGTCTTCATGGTGAACCCCAAAAACCTCCGGAAACAACCAGGAGCCAACAATCTTGACAGCCACAAGTACAAATCACACCTATTGGGGGTTCCTCCTCTCCTTACAGCAGGCACTTTTGGGGTGAGACAGAGGCGGTGCTGCATAGATGAGCTAGATCCCCTTTCCATATAAACAGTCAACAGAGAAAGGATGAGTCGACGGAGAAGCTATAAAAGCTACCGTGAATGTTTCCAAGCCCATTCTACAGCGAAGCCCAGCCAGCAGACAGACCCAGAGCTTCCAGATCACCAAATTCCTCAGCCTTGCACAGACAGAGAACCCACACTTGTAATTAGCACCTCCAGATCCTGTGTGTTTTGAAGCTGATCTTGCTGGGAGCGGAGCGATGCCGGTGCTGGCACGCGGGCTGCAGCACGACCGTCCGCCCACGACGGGCTGCTCAGGAAGCTTCTCTCCGTGCCGGCGCCTCGCTGGAAGGCACTGGAGGGCTGTAAGTGACTGCAAGTGCTGTTTATCCAGCTGTGAGGCTTGTGGAGCAGCAGGGGATGGAGGAGGGGACGGGGAAAACGTGTCAGGAGTGGACGAGTGGGAGGAAGCAGTGGTCTCCTGCAAAGAGGAGACCTCCAGAGTACCTTTGAAACGGAACATTGAGAAAACAAAGAATTCTTGTAGGGGTACCCAAGGTCCCTCCAAACATATGGCCTCTGGAAATTAGCACCATCTGCACTGTCCCTTCTCAGCTGCTCTGGTTTTTACGCAGGCTGAATACTTCCTTAAAGAAGCTCTGCCTTTTCGTAGCCCAAGTGAGCAAATGAGCAGCCACCGAAGGGTAGGTCCACCTTACTGCACATGCAGAAAGACCACACCTGTGGTGAACTGCAAGGCCATGCCACAGAGCCTGCTGCTCACTTGATCCTCCTCACGGCACATTCAGCCAGCAACTGACCACAACAGAGCTGCAACGATTCTTTTTCTCTCAGCCACTAACAGAGAAAAAATATCACCCTCCATGCTGTAGCTTCGCTGGACTCAATAAAGGAGAGGCTTAGTTTTGCAAGCTGGTCAAATTTATCCTAATCTGGAAAGTCTCATGTTCCAGACTATCAGATGTTAAAAGCTGGACGTAGAGGAGCAGGTTTGGTGAGAGGCCTTCTGCTGATGACAGAGATATTCTCCAGCTTGAGACAGCAGTGCTCTCTGGACCGAGAGGATCATTGAAATGATCCCATCCACTTACGGGCATTTCCTGAAGTCTGGAAAAGTGTCCATTCTCAAAAGGTTCCCAAATGCTGTAGCTTATTTTTTCCCCTCTAACTTCTTGGATTCAGGCAGTACAGTGCCTGCAATGTGTGTATCTTCCAGCCTGCTCCAAGAGCTCAGACTCAAGGGGGTTTTTTTCCCTCCTGTATAGCATACATAAGACAAGGAGGAAAAAGAGGGAACATGAAGACATTATTGTTGCTTACTTGGGTCATCCTCACTACACACTCTGGCAGCAGCAGAGATGTAAACATGTAATCCATCCCTGTGAGGAAATCCAGCCATTTCACAGACCCAGAAGCCAGCCTTAGGGAGTTAGAGAGATACAGTTACTTCCTGACATTCAGGGCTATGTTAATTGATAACAAGATAGCTGTGGCCAGGCAATTAGTTATGAAATGCTGATTGAAATGCCAGCGGCCTGAGCATGCCCCTACCCAGGGTGGCATGGAACCCCTAATTCATGGCTCCATGGGCATTCAGGGCAGACTGACCACATTTCGGAGCAGGCATACCCCAGCTGGGTGCATGGAGCACAAACAATGGGTTTGGCCTATTTTAAACATAGACCATGCTGCAGTTTTCTCACAATAGATCCAGAGTACTCACATTCTTCTAGAGCCAACTTCCCTACCTCCATCAGTGGACAAGTGATACAAGTGGAGGCAGAAGGAACATTAACTCAGATAACTTCAAATGAGAAGGCAAAAAATGGCATGTGCCTTGCCATAGTTCATTATTATTAGCTGTAGGTGGAATTAAAGACAAAAAAGATCTTGAAAACAATAAGAAAAATTTTAAACACAGACTACCCAAAGCACAACCTCCAGTAATTTTGGCTTCAGGTAAAAGTAATTTTGCTTCAGGTTTTGTCAGCAGTGGCAGACAATCTGTGTGGATAACTCACTCCAGAGAGCAGAAGGCCCTTGCAAAAGGCCAGGCTCCTC